GAAGTGTTAATGGTGTGAAGGACCAAGTCACAGAGACTAGAAAGAGGAGTTGGAAGCATCATGGAGGCACAGTTGACAGAGTCAGGGCTCATTGTTTGAGTCTAACAAGGTGGGACCATGTGAACGACATAAAGATACCCTAAAGCTCCTTGTTTGGTTATTATTAAAATAATGGTCAACAATGAACTGGGACTTCTTCAGGACTCTCACGCTGGAGGAGAGAAATGCTGAAGCCGAGTGCCAGCCAGAGGGGGGCCTTGTCTCTTGGAAGCAGACTTCACACATTTCTGACAACTGATCAGACCACCTTGCAGGATGAAACTAAAGTCTAAACAATGATGGGTCAGTTATGGGCAGAAACCACACCCTGACCAGACTGTTCAGCTTTGCATACCTGTAGCTCTCTACTTAAGCCTAAACCTCATGCCAGGACCCTAAAGATGGACTTGGGGTGCAGGGTCACTGTATCTCTTTGTTCCTTTTCTCTCCGTGGCCACATTAAGTAGATGGCTTGTTTTTCACTGTTAATTTGGTTCTTCTAATTGACTTGTTGTGGACAAGAGGCTGAGCCTGAACTGTCAAGAGAATAACCACTGGGGGAAGGTGAGGGGGACGGGAGGGGGGAGAACAAGGGAATCCGTGGCTGATATGTAGAACTGAATTGTATTGCAAAATAAATTAATAAAAAAAAAATGGAAAAAAAAAAAAAAAAGAGAATAACCACTGACCCTCACTCCAGTAACAAAAGGACACCGAAGGCATTTCAAGGGGAGTGGCCAGATAAAACTGTTTCCAGTAGATGATGCAGGTTATAGGTGGGGTCAAATGGGGTGGGACTGGGAAGGCCAGCTTGCGAGGGTCCATCTTGAGTTCAGTGAGCAGCAGGGGCTGGGAAGGCCAGTGAATGGAGACAAGGAGTCTTTAGAAGGTGGGAATCACAGGCTACTGGCAGGCTGCGTGTGAAGAGAGAGGTGAGGAACAGAATCTGGGGTGTCTCCAGTACTCCAGCCTGGGAAGAATTGGTCTGATGTTAACATAGGCAGCAATGGCTGAGGAGCAAGAGAGGGGAGAGAACGGTCACTTTAAACTGCTGAGCCATCCTCATAGTCTTAGAAGACCCAGCAGGACAGGCCTGGAGGCTTTCAGTGGCAACCCGCGCTACAATCCCTTCCTCTGTGTGTTTCTCTCGAGCTCTAGGAATTGAATCCTTCATGTGAGGATTGGGAACTGATAAATCCTGCTGATTCTGTCCCTAAAGCCATCTCAGATCTCAGCTTACACACCACCCTTAAAGACCATTCCCTGAGCCCCTGATTAGATCCAACTCCCCTCCTCAATTATACATTAACACAGTGGCATATCATACATTCTCCAATTATATATTCCCATAGCGGCATATCTTACACCCTCCAATTATACATTCCCACCACGGCCCTTGTGCAGCTTTCTGAGACCTCATGTGCTCCTCTGGAATAGAATCTTTAAGATTTATTTATTTTTATTTTATGTGTGTTGAGTGTTTTGCCAGAAGGCATGCAAGTGCACCATATGCTTGCAGTACCTGTGGATGCCAGAAGAGGGCACCGAGTTCCATTGAACTGATGTCACACAAAGTTGTGAGCTGCCACGTGGGTGGCTGGGAGCCCAACCCAGGTCGTCTGCAAGAACAACAAGTACTCTTAATGGCTGAGCCATCTCTCCAGCGTCCCCGTTTTCTGGTCTTAGTCTTGCTCTGTAGCTCTGGCCTGGAACTGGCCTTTCAGGTGCGCCTGTCATCCTGCCTTGTCTCTGCTTCCCAAGTGCTGGGATTATAGGCGTGTGTGAAAATATGTGGCCTTCCCACCCCTCACAATCTGAGCTATTACACTGGCTTCCTACTTATTCATTTTGTTTTTTCGAGACAGGGTTTCTCTGTGTAGTTTTGGTACCTGTCCTGGATCTTGCTCTGTAGTCCAGGCTGGCCTCGAACTCACAGAGATCCACCTGGCTCTGCCTCTTGAGTGCTGGGATTAAAGGTGTGTGCCACCACCACCCGGCTGCTTCCTACTTACTTAAGCTTTCCTTCCCAATATACCTTCTTTTCATTAAACGTACAAACTTAACCATGTCTGTCCCCTTCCAACAAAACCAAAAGAAAAGAAAACAACAAAACACAGGAGTTACTACAGTTCACAGCACTGTAAGTCCTTGGCTTCATGGATGTCATTTCAAAGTCATCCTAGCCTCCCTTCCCAGCTTGATTTCCTGCCACTCCCTTCTCATTTATTCAACAAATGTTTACCCGCAGTTTACTGTATGCCAGGTCTGTGATAGGCAGCAGCCGTACAAATTACCTACAACACGGTTGTTCTTGCACCCAACAGACTTAACAGCCGATGGAGTAGGGAAGGAGAGGGAGGACACTGATCGTTTTAGATCAGCAGGCATCCGAAGAGGTCAGCACAGTGTTTGGGGATCCGTGGGCGGCTTCCAAACAAAGGTGAAGCTGGAGCAGTGCTGGAAGGATGGGTGAATCCGAAATGAAGAAGTGAATCTGTCACTCCCACAAGAAGGGAGAACAGGTGCAGAGACAGGAAGGCGCGAAACCAGCTGGCCGGGCTCTTCCCTGCACATCTGCTCCGTGAGCACCTCTTAGGTGTTTGGGGTACGGAAGCAGTGAACACAGTCAATGCTCCTGACTTCGCAGAGCTCTGAGTCCCCAAGAGGAAGATGAGAACATTGGATAGGATGAGGAAGAGCAAGCCTTCCAGACACAGTTCATGGACACTAAAGTCTTGTGGTTGGGGCTCACAACCCCACTGCAATTTCAATGTGAATGTCTGTGCTCGTGCTCATGAAGCATTTTCATAGATCATGGATTCATATTTTATCTCAGTCTCAAGAGGAACCATGATGCTCTTGAGTTAGAACCTCTCCTGTAGGGCTCCGTGTACTGAGCTAAAAAATTTGACCCTCGGGCCGGGCGGTGGTGGCGCACGCCTTTAATCCCAGCACTCGGGAGGCAGAGCCAGGAGGATCTCTGTGAGTTTGAGGCCAGCCTGTTCTACAGAGCGAGATCCAAGACAGGCACCAAAACTACACAGAGACACCCTGTCTCGAAAAAGAAAAAAAAGAATTGACCCTGAGGTGAAAGGTCTGGAAGCGTGTGTGTGTGTGTGTGTGTGTGTGTGTGTGTGTGTGTGTGTGTACGTGCACGCGCACATCTTTCTGGAATGGAGTACATACATATGCAAGAGCCCTATTGCTCAGCCATACTTTTCACCCTGCAGCCAGCAAGGCATTTTAAGAAGGAAAACCACCACCAAAGCCTACATGTGCTGTTGCCAGAGAACTCCCCGTGCCTTTCTGCTGCCAAGCTTTTGCTTAGCTGTTCCTTCACCTGGCTCGCAGAAATGAAAACATCAGAAAAATTACAAGCCAGGCAGGCCTGCCTCCAATCGCTGTGGTCTAGTTGCAAACCTTGGCTACTCCCCATGTGAAAACTTGCGAGGTTTGAAGCACACTGTGATGAGCTGAACACTTAATGACTTTCGTTTTGGAAAGTGCCCATCATATCTATCGTAGTCACTTGACAGTGTTAGCTCCTTTCTTGGTGTTGTGGCTCAGCAGCTCGCTCAGGGGTTCAGGGACTGACTCCCTACCTCTTACCTTTGCGGAGCTCTCCACTTCTCCATGCTCCTCCAGAGCTCTGTGGCTACCATCTGCTGCGATCTTCACGTGTTTTTCTTCTGAGATGGGGTTGCACGTAACTCAAGCTGACCTCCAACTTGCAGTTTGAAGATGACCTTGAACTTGTGACTCCTTCGCCTCCATCTCTCCGTTGCTATAGACACGCGGCTGGTTTGTGTTGTGCTTTGGATGGAACCTCCAGGATCAAGTGTACTAAGCAAGCACTTTACCAACTGAGTCGCGACCCCAGCCCCACACTTTGACTTTTTTTTTTCCTCCCTGGAGACAGGATTTCTCTGTGTAACCCTGGCTGCCCTGAAACTGCCTCTGTAGACCAGGCTGGCTGGGAACTCAGAGACCCCCCTGCTTCTGCCTTCCAAGTGCAGGGATTAAAGGTGTGCGCCACCATCACTTAACTACTCTTTTTTTTTTTTTTTTTTTTTCTTCAAGACAGGGTTTCTCTGTGTAGCTTTGGTGCCTTTCCTGGAACTCACTCTGGAGCCCAGGCTGGCCTCGAACTCACAGAGATCCACCTGGCTCTGCCTCCCGAGTGCTGGGATTAAAGGCGTGCGCCACCACCGCCCGTTTTTTTTCACTCTTAATGCACCGAATTAATCCACATCCGTGTTTTCCTTCAGCATAATTATTTCCTTAATCTGCACCATTGTCCAAATAAGTACTGAATACCTTCTTTGTTATTCGGAGGAGGAACTTGAGGCCAGGTGAGAAGAATGATTGACTAAAATCCATCATTTATTGACCAGAAGAGCCTGATCACGGAGTCTTGTGAAATATTAGGGACAACAGCCGCAACAATTAATATTTACTATGCTCACCGTGTCAAGCGTACTCAGCATTACAATTGCATCCTTTCTTCCATCTCCTCTTGACAGGCAGGCAAACTCTACTGAAGCTCTGAGAGATTAAGATGCCCCAAGTAACCCAGGTTAGTCAGTTTTTAAAATGCAGACTCGCAACTGGAGCATATAAACTCCAAAAGAGTTCTGACTCTCAAAAGAAAACACTCCTTTTTGATTTCACAGTTCAAAACCCCATCCAAGCCTTTTCAGCATCCAGTCTAACGCCAGCCAAGTCTTTGGTTGTTTTGAACAAAGATGCAGAGGACACTGTCAAACGTTAGTTCAGGGGGTCAACAGAGAAGGTGGGGGTCGAGCGGAAATTCAGGCGCCCGGGGCGTACAGGGCAAAAAGAGTATCTGGGGACCAACAGGCGAGTCACGTGTGAGTGAAACTCGACCTAAGGGGAGGGGAAGGGAAGGGAACCCCCGCCCCCACCTTGGGGCGCTGCTCTGGACGCCTGTAAATACAACTATCAACTCGGCAGATCGCGTAGTCCATGCCCCGGCTTCCCGGCTTCCCGGCTCTGTGGCGCTCGGACGGTTCCCGGGTCCACCGCTTCTTTCGAGGGCGCAGACGAGGTGAGACCGGCGGGCTCCGAGGCCGGCTGGGTCTGGCACGCCCGCAAGACCCCCGCGTGGATGCGTTTTGGGATTGGGATCCTGGGTCTCCGGCGATCCGGAGTGTGGCAGCGCCGAGGAGGCTCTGTGTTACCCCGAGTGTCAACGGCTGCGGGAGGCAAGTTTGCTGGGGACAGGTGAGCAGCTGGCGCCGCTCAAAGTTACCCAGCCACACTTGCAGGTCCCTTCGAAGCGTCCGTTACCTGAGACCCTGGGCACCTTGTCCCCTCTCTCCGACCCCTCCATTCTTCTAGTCCCTTCTGTTTAGAGCCACAGTTGTCCCTGTGAGAAGGGACCTCGGGGATCACTGAACCGAACGCCCCATTTTACAGATGAGGGGCTGGGCCACCCCCTGGAGAAGGGGCTAGTGTCTCCATCCCCTTCGTCTTTCCAGCTTGCTCTTCCCTGCCTGTTCCCTCTCCGCTTGCCTGGGTCTCCCCCTCCCTTATTGGCGGTGGCGACCGCGGCCCGGGCGAGCTCCGGTTTCTCCGTTGCCTCTGGTAAACACACCCGCCCGCCAACCACCCCATCCTCCGCCACTGTCCTTATAAAGTCTACAGGCACAGGACTTCCTGCCGGAGCCCGAGCCCTCTCCCGGAGACTGGGGGGCTGGCGAGTTCTGGGGCGCGCTGCGGAGTGAGGGGTGCGCGGGGGGCGCCACGGGGCCCGCCCAGGGTCTCCCTCCACGTGGCAGCTTTGGGGTTGGCCCAGGAGACAGGAGGGACACGAGCGCCGGCTGTGGCGAGCGGGAGGAGTTTTTCTACCCGGACTCTGGAGAGGAGGAGTAGGATGAAAGGCGTAACAAGAATAGAGGGTCTCGGGCTAGCCCCAGACTTCCCTTTCCGCCTCCTGCCCGCTTCTGAGAGTCCGATCTGGCGCCAGAGGCTGGCTAGCCGTCGGTCGGCGGTGGCTACAGAGCACGGTCCGCCCCTTGCTGACTTTGGGAACTTGGGGTTTGGCTCCAGGAGCGGGCTCTGTGCGCCCTGGCCTGGGTAGACAAGCCCGGCAGCGCGCCAGGAAGTTGCTTCGCGCAGACACCCGACCTTTCTAGTTCCTGATAGTGGCCTGCGAGCCAGTGGCGCGCTCGCCCCTGGCACTGCCAGAGCGCGCGGAGCCAGCTCCGCAGCACCGGGCTCTATGGGACCTCCATGAGGGCTCCACCTCGGGTTGGCTCCAGAGGTCTCAGGAGCCACCGTCATGGAGTACCCTTCTCAAGGGCCGCTAGGAAGCCCTTCTTCTCTTAGCGCTCTGTTTCTCTGCAGAGTCTCGGCCACCATGGCCCCCACGCTGAAGCAGGCGTACAGCAGGCGCTGGTGGATGGCTTGCACCGCTGTGCTGGAGAACCTCTTCTTCTCCGCGGTGCTCCTGGGCTGGGGCTCCCTGCTGATCATGCTCAAGAAGGAAGGCTTCTATTCCAGTCTGTGCACAGGTATATCCAAGAAAGGTTGGGGGTTGGGGGGTGAGGACCGCGAGGGACGGTAGAAGGAGGAGGTAGGAAGTTGGAAAACAAGGACAGGTGCTCAGGTGGAGACAAAGCAGGGTTGCCCAAGACTGGAACACTGGATAAGTGGGAATTGGACAGCCTCACTTCTTGACCTCTTCAAGCTTCATGTGCCCTCCCTTAGGATTCTCCTATCCAATGGTCACTGAATGCCGATGTCCTGCTAGGCATCCAAGTCCTGAGACTGCCATTGACAACCTCCAGTCTAGAGTAGTATGTAGACTCTTAGAAGTGCCGTACCTACCTGGATAAGAGTCATACCCAAGTCTTTTGCATGCTAGCAAGCATTGAGCTACATCACCAACACACAAGGCAGTTCTTGTAAGATCAAGCAGAGCCACACAACCTGGAGTATGAATATGAACGACCTGAACTCTTGGCCTTTTCAGGACCCTGGAGTCCCCAGTTTTACAAATCACCCATTTGCATAAAGTTAACAGCCCTATTTCCTCTAGAATGAATGAGTATTGGTGGAGGGTTTCTGTTTTTTCATGTCAATGTAACTTGGTCTTGTGGAGTGGGCATCCTGAACTCTTTGAGAACAGTGACTACAGTCAAAGCCTGTCTGCTTCTGTCGAGTGGGGGTGGGGTGGGGGTGGAGTGGGGTGGGTGGGGGATGGGGGTGGACAGAGCTCTTCATTCGGTGGCTGGGACTTGGTGGATATTTTTCTTTTCTGGAAAAGCGAGTGCTGCACTCAGCAAAAAACCTGTGTGGTGTGTCTCCCTCTGTCCCTTTTCCCACCTCCATGTTGTAGAGCAAGCACAGGAGGAAGGCCAGTCAGTAGGGTTTTGAATCCCAGCTTCCACCTCATTTGACCAGTGAGATCCTTACAAATTGAGCATCCATTACCTAGGGACAATGTCTGTCCATAGGATGGTGTGAAACTCAAGAACACTTGACAAACGGAAATGTCCTGGCTTCTCCTAGTTCCTCAGCTCAACCTGTTGCCTCTTAGCTTGTACTGTGAGTGTGGAAGGACAGGAAACCATCTCCCTGAGGGTGGAGATGGGGAGGTCTTGATATCTTGTCTTATGCAGCACCAGCTACACCGTGGAGGCTGCTCCACCCCTGCCACGGTTATCTCTAGGGGAGCAATGGGTTGCACCCAGATGTGGCACCCTGCCCATGTACTTGGCCCCAGTTACAGAGGCCTTGGACTGCAGGTGATGGAGCTAGAGTCAGGCCTAGGAAGTTAGGGTAGGTCCCTTGTGGTGGAGGTCTGAGATGGAATCACAGGCATTCCAGGATGGTTGAGAGGACCACGTGAGAGACCTTAGAGACACCCGTCCACACAATTCTCCAGGCCCTCTGGGGTTTCCCTGGAGACTAGAGAGAATCTTTCTTTTGTTGCCTGGCGGCCTTGCTGTCGGCTATAGCCCATCCCGGGGGGTTCTCCCTGCCTTCTGCACCTGGAGGTTGTAGGGTTTCACTAAGTTATCTTTACTGAAAATTAATTTACCTTCTACATTTTGGTGATGTTTGACAAATTTATACATTCCAGTATTCATCACAACAGCCAGTATTTACATTTCTACCACCCCCAAAACTTTTAAGGACCTGTGATTATATATAAACTCCTCATTTAAAACATGCAATGTAAGCCAGATGGTAGTGGTGCACACCTTTAATCCCAGCACTCAGGAGGCAGAGGCAGGCAGATCTCTGTGAGTTGGAGGCCAGCTTGGTTTATATAGTGAGTTCTAAGACAGCCAGAGCTACAAAGAGAAACTCTACCTCGAAAAACCAAAGCAAAACGTACACTATAATAGGTTCTAGTGTATTTGGAACTGCATAGTCATCCCCACAAATTTTAGAGCGTTTACTTTATTGACCCCATTCCCATTAGCAGCACCAGCTGCCCTGTTCTCTCTCCAGGCACCGCTTGTCTGCTTTCTGTCATAGACTGGCACTGACAGATACCAGCTACACCTATTTGGAACATTTCCTATAAAATGGAATCTTGTCTTTGTGACTGGTTTCTTTCACTTTTCGTAATGTTTTCTAGGCCCGTCCTTTGTTCCACATTTAAGCCTTATTTTGTATAGCTGACTAACTCTCCATTATGTGTACTGACTACATTTTCCTTATTAGTTGATAGGCATCTGGGTTATTTCCACCTTTTGGGTTGTTAATGATAATACTCCCGTGTCTATGTATTTATTTTGACGTGGACTTGCTGGGTTATGAAAGTAGTGGTAATGTTTTTCAAAATGACCAGCACAGTCTAACTTCTCACCAGCAGTGTATGAGGGGTTCCAGTCTCTCCACGTCCTCAGCGATGGTTGTTGACTGTCTTTTTCATTTGCATTTCCCTGATGGCTGCTGAGGTTGGATGTTTTTCGTGTGTTTTTATTGGCATGTTCTCTGGAATAACAACTATTCAGCTGCTTATTCCATTTCTAAGTTGCTTTATTTGCTTGTTTATTTAGTTGGAGATTGGACCCTGGGCCTTACACGTGCTAAACATATGTACAGTCTACCACTGAGCTATACTCCTAGTTCTGTCTTTTTACTATTGAAGTGGAAGAGTTCTTTATACTCTAGCTCTAAGTCCTTTATATAGTTTTCCCTTCTTTCTTTCTTTCTTTCTTTCTTTCTTTCTTTCTTTCTTTCTTTCTTTCTTTCTTTCTTTCTTCCAACTTTGGGTTTTTTCTTTTTTTCCCTGTGTATCCTTTTTGGATGTTGATAAAAATCCTATTTGCCTATTTTTTATTCTGCTGCTCCATTATGTTTAAGAAACCGTTGGCTGAATTTAAGGTCACAAAAATTTGCACCTGTGTTTTCTTGGTTTTGTGGTTTGGGCTCTTACATTTAGATCCTTGATCTCATGAGGTGCCGACCTGATGTTTTGAGTTGCTTGGAAGTGGGTGTGTGGTTGTTTGTGATCACCAGTGGTGAACTAAGTGAACTCTTGTTCTTTTCCCCCAGAACATATTTGTGCACTTTTAGAAAGCAGTGTACAGCATCTCTCTGCGTCCCCTTTTCTAATGGCCTCTACAGGCTGGTGGGTGGGATGGTGCTTCCTGTTCTGTCTGATCAGGAAGCACCCCTTTCTTTTTCCTGGTACCTCATTTATCATGAGTCCTCCGTGACATCTCCAGGAGATGTAGTCTCACAGCAGACCTCCTCTTCCTCTGGCTCTTACAATCCTCTGTCCCCTCCTCCATTATGATCCTTGAACCTTAGGTGTGGGAGTTGTGTGGTGGGTGTACCAGTTGGGGGTCAGGCACCACATGGTTACTTGTTCTCTGCATTTTGATTGTTGGTGATTTTATGTAATGGTCTCTATCTGGATAATTGTTATCTTTCTTGCCACAGAACAATATGAGACTCAAATGACACTGTTTAACAACAGTTGAAGAACTCAGCAAATGAGAAACTCATAACTGAGGCTGACATTAGTACAGGCTTTAGGGATCCTTGGTCACACTGTCTATTTTGGGGATCTTTCCTTCCTGATATATACTCTGGGGTGGGAGCTAATGGGGACTGTCACTCAAAATTTAGTCAAGACCATCTCAGTTCTGTAGTGGTAAGTTTCTCAGGTCCTGCCCAGCCCTGTGGTCCTGAAGCCACTTATAAAATAATCACTCAGAGGCTTAATATAATTTATAAACTGTATGGCCTATGGCAGGCTTCTTGCTTGCTAGCTCTTTCATCTTAAATTAACCCATTTTTATTAATCTATGTTTTGCCACATTGCCGTGGTGTTACTGGCCTCTTGCAGCTCCTTGGCATGGCTAGGCATCTCTCTTTACTCTCCTTTCTTCTCTCCATATCTCTGCTTGGATTTCCCACCTGCCTCTAAGCTGCCTTGCCATAGGCCAAAAGAGCTTTGTTTATTAGCCAATGAGAGCAACACATATTCACAGCATACAGAAAGACGTCCCACAGCACAGTTCATAACACACTAACAGAATAACAAAACAAAGCAATGCTGACAGTCACTAAATATTACTGTTTGTTAGGTCTTTAGATCTCATTTAGAGCTCATCTGTGACATAAGTATTATTATACCCCCATTTTGTGGGGGAGAAGCCTCCGACTGGGAGACGCTAAGCAGTGTACCTAAGGTTACCCAGCTGGTAAGGAGGAGGACAAGGGCTGCTGCTGCGGGTCACAGTGTTTCCCTAACAAGTGTGAAGCTGTGGGCTCCATCCTTAATCCCTGGAGGTGTGTGAGGAGGGCACAAAGTGAGGATTCACTTCCGTTCTGACATAGAACTTCATCACAAAGCCTCTTGGGAATAGCCTATGTGTCTCAACCACCAATAGCCGAGGATTGCTCTGGATGAGTCCAGCTGTCTCTGTTACTGTTCTGTTGTTGTGAAGAGACACCGTAACCAGGGCAACTTAGAAAAGAAAGCATTTCCTTGAAGGCTTGCTAATAGTTTAAAAGGATGAATCCATGGCCATCATGGCGGAGAGCATGGCAGCAGGCAGGCAGGCAGGCATGGCACCGGAGCAGCAGCTGAGATCTCACATCTGATCTACAAGCAGGAGGCAGAGAGAGACAGACTGGGTCTGGCATGGGCTTTTGAAACCTCAAAGCCCACCCCAAGTGACCCACTTCCTAATCCTTCCAAAGCAGTTCCACCAACTGGGAACCAAACATTCAAGTTCCATTCTCCTTCACCACATTCCACCCCCCAGTCCCCTTGGCTTAGAGCCACATCATAACACAAAATGCATTTAGTTCAACTTCAAAAGTCCCCATAGTCTATAACAGTCTCAACACTTAAAAAAAAAAAAAGTCTTTTCTGAGACTCAAGGCAATCTCTTGACTGTAACCCCTGTAAAATAAAAAAGATCACACACTTCAACATACAATGGCACAGAATATATATTACCATTCCAAAAAGGAGGAAAGGGGCATAGTGAGGAAATCCTGGTCCAAAGCAAGACTGAAACCCAGCAGGGTTATCATGTCAGTTATCAAAAGGCTCTTTAGATTGCCCTCTTCTTCCAACTTTTTTTTATTTTTGGTTTTTCGAGACAGGGTTTCTCTGTGTAGCTTTGGAGCCTGTCCTGGAACTCACTCTGTAGCCCAGGCTGGCCTCGAACTCACAGAGATCCACCTGGCTCTGCCTCCCGAGTGCCCCCCCACCCCAACGCCCCAGGCTTTCTTCCAACTTTGTTGACTGCATCACACTTCTCTCTCCTGGGCTGGTTCCACTCCCTGTTAGCAGCTCTCCTTGGCAGACATCCCACGGCTCTGGCATCTTCAACATCTTGGGGTCTCCGATGCAACCAACCTTCACTTTCACAGGTTCACAAAATGGTCTCTCTTGGGCCTCCATGGAGGGACTCTTCCTGCCACAGTGGCTTTCCTTAAGCAAGGAGAAAGATTCCAGAATCCCTTTACCCCTGTCCTTCTTGAACCATGGGCTTGAGGCGGCCACGTTCTGCTGCTTGCTGGGGCTGGATCCTGCCCCCTTCTTAAATTATATTTGCATAAACTTCACTCCTTCATGCTTTTTAGGCATCAGATCCCTCAAGCCCCTTCCTTTCCCAAGTTGCAGGATTAGCTGGGTAGAGTCTCACTCTGAGGGAACCACTCTTTTTTTCCATTTAGCATTAGACCTGTCTTTAAACTTCTTATTGCTGACGGAGTGCAGGACTTGGCTCCAACGTTATGTTCCCTTATGCCCTAGACAAGATTTTACCAGCTAGAACTTAGTCCTGAGGTATTTTGGTGGTGTGGCCATGTCACCAGCAGGAAAATATCATGAGGAAGCGAACATGGATTAGGAGAAAAGGAAAACTGAATCATTTTAAATTTGCTCTGCGTGTATGGGACTCAGCCCATCCTCAGATCCAGGTGTTTCAGGTCCCTGTCCCCATTTCAAAGATGGGACAGGCCTCAGAGAATTTCAGCAGCATAGCTAGTGAGGCCAGGCTCTGACTAGAGGTGCCTGCTTAACCATGACCCCATTCCCCAGGGGTTCCCAGACACGATCGGTTATTTACAAGCCACCTTTGGAATTTTATCATTTCTGTGTGCCATAGTTACTGTTATTTAAAGTGTGATATAGCCTTGGGTTTGATGTTGTATGTACACACACATACATACATACATACATACATACATACATACATATATATATATATATCCCTAAGAAATATATGCATTCATGCATGTTTCTAATGCACAAATAACTAATAACTGAAACCTCGGAAGGTGTTCCATATATTACCTAACCCCACTTTAAATGCCCATGTCGTGTGTACAGCCAACTATAATGTGCCTAGGTCACCTAGCTAATAAGGAGCAAACAAGGGCTGGGATATAGTGGTGGTCACCTTGTTTTCCCTTGTCAACCCAGCAGCCTCGCTCACTTACTGAGTGCATTCTCTTCCCCCTCCCATGGAGCATCCATCTGTGAAAGTGGGACAGTTGGATGCCAAAAATTTATTCTGCTACTCTCCTGGATGCAAGCTCTTTTTTTTTTTTTTATTATTAGGAAATTTTTTATTCATTCCACATACCAACCACAGATTCCCCCTTCATCCCTCCTCCAGCTCCCCCTCAGCCTTTCCCAGCAGCCCATCCCCTACCCCCTCCTCTGAAAAGGTATGGCCTCCCATGGGGAGTCAGCAAAGCCCAGCACATTCATCTGAGGCAGGTCCAAGTCTTTCCCGCTGCATCAAGGCTGTGCAAGGTGTCCCACCATAGGCAATGGGCTCCAAAAAGCCAGCTCATGCACCAGGGATAGATCCTGATCCCACTGTCAGGGGCCCCTCAAACAGACCAAGCTACATAACTGTCTCACCCATGTAGAGGGCCCAGTCCGGTCCCGTGCAGGCTCCACAGCTGTTGGCCTAAAGTTCATGAGTTCCCACTGGCTTGGTTCGGCTGTATCTGTAAGTTTTCCCATCATGGTCTTGATGCCCCTTGCTTATAGAAACCCTCTTCCCTCTCTTCGAATGGACTCCTGGAGCTCGGCCTGGGGCTTGGCCATGTCTCTCTGAATGCAAGTTCTTTAGCCAGCCCCTCAGAGTGATCAGGCTTCGGGAGCTAGCTCATATTGAATCCACAAGAAGTTGATTGATTAAAACAGAAGAACTTATATATTAGTGGGCCTTGAGTGGCCATTAGCAGTCCGATGGGCTAGATCCTGGAGCAGAGTACACATATTCACTGGCTTTAAAATATACTTGGGAGAGTTTCCAAGCTGGCCTGTGGGACAGCTAGGATGGGTGGTGCGGTGAATCTGTACTGGCTCTGGAAATTCTTTTGAGTTTGAATTGGAGGCCACTGTAGGCTGCTGGGTGGCCGAATGCTTTTGCTTCTTGGCGCCTCATCATCTGTAATGGATGTAAAGATTAAGTGAGATTTGGCTTGGAACAACCTGGCACAGAGTAGGTGTTTTCCACAAGCTAGTGGAATTGTTTGGGAGGAAACTTGTCATTTGATTATGAAAGACTTAAGGGCAAGGACAGTGTCTTAACTCAGGGGCTACAAATTCAACTGCCATATAAGGGCAGAAGGATGATAATAAATGAGACCAGCAGGGCAGGTGTAAGATAGCCAGCATCTGGGAGCTGTGAGATAGACATAAGTCTGTTCAAGAAGGACAGCCCTGGCAAAAGAGGAGGCCACCTTCAGCAACCTTTCTGACTTTCTCTCCCTCCCTCCCTCTTCTCTCCCTCTCTTTTTACTCTGTTGCTCAGGTTGGCCGAGAACTCCCGGGCTCACGCCATCTTGCCTCCGTCTCCCGAGTAGCCGGGACTCTGGTTGCACACCACCAGGTCCAGCTGAGGTCCCAAATTTCCAATGAACTAGAAATCTGGGTTTTTATTTAATGCAACTCTCAACCCAGTTTACTGGCAGCCTAGCAAAACATGGGGCAGAGAGAGAGAGTTCGTGGTGGTCGCCTGTTTGTGGCCTTTGGTCTGACTTGTCCCTCTGCTTCTTCTTTCTTTACCCACGGCTCCGACACCATGCTGGCATACAGCAAATGCCCAGTAATCAGGTGTAGGATAAACCCACGTGGACAAACCCAGTGGAGAAACAGATGGTGATGACAAGGACAGCTAAGTGGGAGGGTTAGCATGGACCTCAAAGGCTGAGTGGTCTAACCCGCTAAGGCCTTCCTCCAGGTACCTTAGCCCTTTGCCTAACCTCCCAAGGCAGCAGCTGGGACTGCCCAAGGCAGGCCCTTTCCTGACCGCCTGCTCTTCTGATCTGACCCATCTTTATGTTCTTTTCATGTTAACACACAGATCTCATTACCTTGTGCTACCTGTAGGTCCTTGGCAGGCAGTTTGAGGGTACTTGAAGTCAGGGTCAATGGCCACCCTCTTTCCCAGCACCCAGGCACAACCATACCTCTCTGTTCTCTGTCACAGAATGCACTACTTTTGTATTTTTAGTTAATGATTCTCCCTCCCTCCCTCCCTCCCTCCCTCCCTCCCTCCCTCCCTCCCTCCCTCTCTCTCTCTCTCTCTCTCTCTCTCTCTCTCTCTCTCTCTCTCTCTCTCTCTCTCTCTCCAGAGTCTCACACATAGCTTAGGCTGGCCTGGAACTCACTATGTAGCTCGGGCTGACTTCAGGCAATCCTTCTGTGTCCACCTCCTGAGGGCGGGAATTGCATTCATGGTTACATACCCCCATGTCCAGCTGAGGTCCTACAGCTCACCTCCCTCTTTAAATCAGCATCCATTTGTTCCCTGTCACGAACCTTTGGTCTTCCAGTCTTAGGGTACGATCCTGTGGGTCTGTGCCCACTGTCGGCTATTTCTTTTTTTTTTTCTTTTTGGTTTTTCGAGACAGGGTTTCTCTGTGTAGCTTTGGAGCCTGTCCTGGAACTCGCTCTGCAGTCCACAGAAATCCGCCTGGCTCTGCCTCCCGAGTGCTGGGATTAAAGGCGAGTGCCACCACTGCCCGGCTACTGTCAGCTATTTCAAGAGCTCTTGAGTGTGCCTCAGCCCTTCCCCCGGGCCAGGCACTGTGCAGAACTCGCTCATTCTCTGCCCTTGCTAATAGCCCAGGGGCCTGAGGCGCGGCTGAGGGAGTTTCCCTGGCCAAGGCTCCAGAGTTCGTCAGGTGGGCGGTGGGAATGGAGACTCTGTTTAGGCTGTCCCTTAGGCAGTACTCTGTTTTCCCCTGGCAGCACTACCCAGAAACTACTCAGAAACAGTTTGGAGGCAGCCACCTCATGGCTCAATGTACAGAGTTAAGTCAAGTCACCCTCTGTCCCCTTGACTGGCCCTTTGCTTGTCCCAACTCCCAAGTTCGCAGCTGACGGGCCCTGGAAGGCAACGCTTTGGTGTCATTATGTGTGGGGTGGGATGTTTTGTTAATGGACTCTTGGGGGCTTGTGACTTACAGGGTCTGTGCAGAGCAGTGCCTGGAACGTAGTTAAATGCTAAGTAGTAAATGCTAAACAGCACTAGCTGTGATTATCAGAATGTCGTCTATCGAGAAGGCTTCCTCTGTCTTTTATGTGCGTTCCTGTTTGTTGCATACATGAAGGAACCAGCCACTGATTTTACCTCTCGATTTGGGTTGTTTCCCACTGGTGCTCTCCAGTGACTATGACAACGGGGTCCATTCTTCGATGTCCACTTTCTCCACTGAGCTAGTTGAAGCCTCAGACTGAGAATGTACGTGAGTCCCTCAGGGTCACGTGCTCATTGCTGTCACTCATGAGCTCTTTCTCCACCCCGGACAGAGCATATAGGACTCCACATTACCTTCGGGGACACCTGGTTGGCTCAAGTCAGAGGCCTGAATTGGAAGGCAGGACCCCCCGGGTCAGGCTGTCTTCCTGTTTCTTTCTGTTGCACGTGCTGAGCCCTTCCCTTCCCCTCCTCAGCCGAGAACAGGACCAACACCACCCAAGATAAGCAGCAGCAGTGGCCAAGCTGTGACCAGCAGGACGAGATGCTCAATCTGGGCTTCACCATTGGCTCCTTCCTGCTGAGCGCTACCACGCTGCCCCTGGGGATTCTCATGGATCGCTTTGGGCCCCGGCCTCTGCGCCTGGTGGGCAGGTGAGGTGCCTAGATTGTGGGGACATTGCAGGGCCAGGAAGACGATGCAGGGGATGGGAGGCTAACAAGTCTGTGTCCTTACAGTGCCTGCTTCGCTGCGTCCTGCACTCTCATGGCCTTGGCGTCCTGGGACACTGAAGGTGAGCCCTCTGCCCTCATGTGCCTTCTCTAGAATGGGCAGATGAAGGCGACCTCTGACCCCAGCTCCTGCCCGTGGACTCCCGTGGCTCCACAAACGCCCTCATCTGTCCTTCTCTCTCTCCCCAGTTCTGTCTCCGTTGATATTCCTGGCACTATCTTTGAATGGGTTTGCTGGCATCTGCCTAACGTTTACCTCACTTACGGTGAGTATGATGGACATGTCCCGGCAGCCATCCAGACACCTGGGAGTGGGTGGGGTTAGGAGCGAGTGAGGAGGGCTGGAGAGATGGCTCAGCAGTTGAGAACATTTGCTGTTCTTCCAGAGGACTGGAGTTTGGTCACTGCCCCCCCCAAGTCCTACAGCTCACAACTACCTTTAACTCGAGCACCAGAGAAACTGACACCCTCTTCTGGCCTCTGAGGGGACCGCACACATGACACACACAGATACACACTCACACACATGAATAAAAATAACTAGAATCGAGCAAGAGAGTGATGAGTAGCCCAGATCAAGTGCCTGTGTGTGGAACTGTGCAGGTGGGCGCTAACGGTAGGCATGGAGCTGTGCGTGGGTGAGACTTTGTGTGTTTGTGCCGAGCCTGTGAATGTCAGTTCAGCTCTGTTCCCGCTCGAAGCCTACAGTACAAACAGGACTATGTCCTCATCTTCCAGAAGCTTCCATATGGGGACTAGGGAGGGGTGGAACAGAAAACCCAGTGAGCAAGCAAACTAATAAATCATGTCAGCAGTCGTAACTCCTGGGAAGCAAACTCATCTGGGTAAAGTGGCCGTGAGGGTGAAGGGGCAGCTTAGCCACGTGGACCTTTTACCACATCATAGTGGTGTGTGTGTGTGTGTGTGTGTGTGTGTGTGTGTGTGTGTGTGTGTGAAAGGACTTGAGTGGAAAATGCATTTGTGAGGTTGTACCCTTGTGAATTTATCAATAGTTAACTATTTTTGACCCACAAAACTAACCTTTCCATGTGACTCAACCTCTTACGTATCTGTGTAAGTTTGTTTTATTCTATACGTTTATGAACGTCTGTGGGTATGCGGGTTAAAAGTTTAGCAGGGTGGGGGTGGGAAAGGAAAGTTCCTGTTGGGCCATTTCTAGTTGTTTATCTCTGATGTGGCCAAATTGGATGTTTTGGCCGAATTTCTCATCCCAGCAGCTGCCTAATTTAACTGCAGCTGGGGACATTTCACAACTTTCAAGGAAGCTGATCCCTTCCGATCCACCCCTCTGTGCAGCAATCCCTTCCCGCTGTGCAAATTGGCTCAGGCCTCCGAAATCTCTTCTCGGACTGGAGTAGGAGGCTTGACCTGGACCCTGCCCTGGGTAGCAGAGGGGATTGAAGGGCCAGCCAGTCTGCGCTCCTCTGCGGTCATCGCCTCATCTCCAGCCAATGGTGTGGCCGGGCGCCTGCCCCGCCCCGCCCTACCACTTGTTAGCCCTGCCCCTGACCTTTGCGATTTCAGACCGCCAGTGGGCGCTAACTACGGCCAACAGGCTACCTCCTGGGTGAGCCTGTGGTTAGCGCCTGGCAGTGCTAGGCAGAACCTCTTCGACCCTTGAAGGACAGGGACCTAAGTCCTGGTGTCCTCCCCTGGGATCATTGGCAGGGTGCATGGCAGATAGAGGACTCTCGTGAAACCTCTGCTCTAATGGGAGTCGGCTTGGCCTTACCAACTGTATTCCCTTGGGGCCAATGACAACTCCCTTCTCTGTTTAAATACTTGACTCCTCATCGCTATCTGAGGTCCTTTTACTGAGCCTCTGTTCTTGTGGCCTCTGCATGACATCTAAGGTCCTATCCAGCTGTGTTATCTCCTAACCCTGGAAGACAGTGGGATTGAGGGAGGAGATACACAAAGCATCAGGAGGAGGATTTCGCCTGCCCTTTCTCTGAGGGCCAGGCACACTGTTAGTGAACAGAACACGTGACCATCAGTTAATGCATTGCTGGTGGGCATTCTGGGCCTGCTTTGGTTATCAGAACTACCTCGCTTCGTCCTTACCTTTCTGCTCTTTCCATGCTTTATCCTGGTTAGGCAGAACCTGTGGGCTGTGGTATTTGGGCCACAGAGAGGATTATCGGTCACTTTTGTGTTGCAGGGTCATCCGTGGACACAGCCTTGATGGGGCCAGAACAGGGAGTCTTCAAGGCTGTGAATTTAAGTGCTCATCTTTCCTTCACAGCTTCCGTCTTGTTTTCATTTTAGAAATAAGCTGGACTACATCAGTGTTTATATTTATGTCTCATATATGTTTCGTCTGCACGCATGTCAGTGCATCATGTGTGGACCTGGTGCCCTGCAGAGGCCAGAAGAGGCTATCAGATCCCCCGGAACTGGAATTATAGACAGTTGTGAGCAATGTGTGGGTGCTGGGACTTGAACCTCCGTGAGCTCTCCTGCCCCTGGATCAGGATTTCTTTCTTTCTTTTTTTAAATTTATTTATTATTCTTTTATATACATTAGAGTTTTGCCTGTATGTGTGTCTGTGTGAGGGTGTCAGATCTTGGAGTTACAGACAGTTGTTAGCTGCCATGTGGGTGCTGGGAATTGAACTCAGGACCTCTGGAAGAGCAGTCAGTGCTCTTAACCACTGAGCCATCTCTCCAGCCTGGATCAGGATTTCTTTTTTTTTTTTTTTTTTTTGGTTTTTCGAGACAGGGTTTCTCTGTGTAGCTTTGCGCCTTTCCTGGAACTCACTTGGTAGTCCAGGCTGGCCTCGAACTCACAGAGATCCGCCTGGCTCTGCCTCTCGAGTGCTGGGATTAAAGGCGTGCGCCACCACCGCCCGGCGGATCAGGATTTCTTAACACCTGTTCCGGGGGTTTATCCACAGGTGTCACTGAATAAAGGGTTCCATGAACAAAACCCCTGGGGCAATCCTGGGATGAGACAAAGTTAGGATTTCTCTCTAGGGATATTTCTGGAACCCATTTAGGTGCCCAAGTACATTGGAAGTATGTTAGAGGGGGTCAGAATGAACGCACTCCCCATGTGGGGTTTTCCCTGGGGCTACTGCTCCTGGAGTTCACTTCTAGAAGTGCCAGGCTGGAGCCTCCGAGCTTTCCTATGGAGTTCTGAGACAGGGGAGCCGAGGGTGATATCAGCATATCACTAGCTCATAAGAGTTGCTTTTTTTTTTCCCCTCAGCTGCCCAACATGTTTGGGAACTTGCGTTCCACTTTCATGGCGCTCATGATTGGTTCCTATGCATCTTCCGCCATCACATTCCCTGGAATCAAGGTACGGAACCTTCGGTAGGGCTGGGTTGTCTTTTTTCTTTTTACACTGTGTGTGTGTGCGCGCGTGTGTTACGGTCGGACTCACCCCTGCTTGTACACGTGGCAGCCAGAAGCTGACATGGGGTCCTCTCTTGCTCTCTGTCTCATTTTCTCACTGAACAAAGAGCTCACAGTTTCAGCTAGACTATCAGGCCAGTAAGCCCTCCTGAGTCCGTGTGTCTCCACACCACAGCCCACAGCGGGTTGCAGGTATGTGCTGCCACACACACCCTCTGCCTTTCCGTGTGTGATGGAGGTCCCAACTTTACCCACGGAACCATTTCCCTCGTCCCCTGAGCTGTCATTTTGCCTTGACACCAGGGCTGGTGTCACTGGGGCAGGGTGAGAGGTGCTTTTAAGTCCCGAAGGCCAGATATTTGGGCTGTATCTCCCTGCCAGAGAGGCTGAGGAACTTGATCTAAGGTCACAAAGCAAGTCGATGCCGGAGCAGATCCTGGTCAGGCCAGCCTGACGGGCCTGGGAGCTGGTGGCCTGAGCTTTACGCTTGCAGCCGGCTGGAGGACTCTGCTTTCTCCTCTGTCAAGTAGTCGGTCCAAGCACTCTTGCCTCTGGATCCTGCCCTCGTTCTTCAGAGTGGACCTTGAGAAGTTCCTTTTTGCATTTTTGCCCACCTTCTCTAAAGAAGTGTGGAGTGGGTAAGCTTGAGGAGTCCTATGTTACCTCTATATGCTTAAGGGGTGCGAAGCTTTGTCTTGCCCTCAGAAGGAGGAGCCCAAGGCTCAAGTTCCTGCAAGAGCAGAGGTTTCTCCTACACAGGGATGGGAGCTCTCAGTAGGAGGCTGCCAGGGAGGACAATTGGAGACAGTTCTCTTATCAGAGGGGCTGTCGCATTGGTGCTAGATCCCAGTCAGTTCAGAACCTATTTGTTTTGGGATTAGAACCCTGCCGGATTACCCCACCTCCCTGCAGCAGGTGCACCTGTGTGCGTTTTGGAGCTGTGAGATAGATAAGGCTTCTCAGGTTGGGGTTGCCTCTCCACGAGGAAATGTGCTAGCAAGAGGAAGGCTGAACCAAGAGCATTCATTTCCCTGTGCATATGATACGAAACGTGTATGTGTGTGTGCGTGTGTGCGTGTGTAAAAAGGAGCATTTTTAAGGAGTCATAGGCAAAAGTTGGCATTCCTTTCCAAAGTAGTAGTGAGATTTTCTAGGCATGTTGAGAGAGTGGCAGGCACCTTTGGTACTTGGTGAGAGTGACTCCACACTCCTTCAGGGGAGCTTGGGTACAGGAAGGGATGGAGTGGCAGCCTTTCTGGGTCTGACTTTTAATGTCTGGCTTTGGTTTCTCCACCTGCAAATCGGGTATACGGATTGGGATGGGAGGGACCTTGGAGGCGCCGCCGGTCCTCCAAGGGTTCTGCCTTTGTGGGGCCTGAGCAAACTGGCTTCCTCCGTGGCCCGTCCTTCCCCACAGCTGATCTACGACGCTGGAGTGTCCTTCATGGTCATCATGTTCACTTGGTCGGGCCTGGCCTGTCTTATCTTTCTGAACTGTGCTCTCAACTGGCCCGCAGAAGCCTTCCCTGCCCCCGAGGAAGTGGATTACACGTGAGAGGCTGGGAGAGGAGGTTGGAGTGTGAAGCGGATTCCTCCCCCCGCCCCCTGCCCCCCCTCCTGCCCCCCGCCCCCGCCCCCTGGCCCCTGCCGTAGAGGGCTGAGGCCAGGCCTATTGACCTGGATTTGGAATTCAGTTTTGCCAATGGCCTCAGACTTCCCAGCTCTGCTTTTCCACCTGAACCACCTGCTCTCGGGTGTTTTTTTTTTTTTTTAATAGTAGATCTGCCACACAGTTGGTAGTCAACATGTGCTTTATTACTAAGGGCAGTATTCTCTCTGGCTTTGGAGGAGAAGGCCAGAGTAGGAGACCTTACCACCACCCCCGCAATAGCGTTAAATGTCACGTGGACCTAACAAGAAGCTGCCAAGCTGCCAGTTCGGCACACTGCTTTTTATGTGTGTGTGTTGGGGGGGACAGCCTGAACGCCAGCCTTTTCCAGCCCCGTTTCAGTTAGTCAACAGCGGGAGGCGGTGCTGTAAAACCTAGCACATGAGGGGACAGTCACATCGGTGACGTTCATTGAGTACCTCCTATCTGCCGCACACTGTACTTACCTCCAAGTAGCTGCACATGTGTACGATGCAGATGCTGATATTAACTCCATTAACGACGAACTGACTGGCTGAAGGTCCTAGCATTGGAAAGAGAGGAGGTGAAGTTTGGATGGGACCTGGCGGAGCCGGTGTCTGAAGTTACGCCACCTCCGCCAGGAAAGTACACCGAGAGAAAAGCCCTCATCTGCCCTTCATTCACTGAGTGTCTGTGTAAGCGGGTGCCCAAGCCAGGTTCTGAGCCAGAGAGATGGGGGCGGCCATAGGAAGCTTATTCCTAGGGATGTCCGTGCCAGATAAAGGGGTGCTCAGCATCCTTGGACAGGCTGGGATGGTGCCTAGAGGTTGAAGTTCAGCTCTGCACAACTATGCTCTGTTCTGACTGTCGGCAGGAAGAAGATCAAACTCATTGGGTTAGCCTTGGACCACAAGGTCACAGGTGACCGCTTCTACACCCACGTAACCATCGTGGGCCAGCGGCTGAGTCAGAAGGCCCCCAGCCTGGAGGAGGGGACTGATACCTTTATTTCATCCCAGGATGTCTCTGGTACTTCAGAAAAACATCAGGAGAGTGAGTGTCTGGTTCCTAGCCTGGGGCAGGGGAAGGTAGGGTACATTCTCATCCCTCCTTGCTCTTCACAACACCCTCTGTGGATGTTGTGGATGCAGAAATCAAAGCTGAATGAGATCTGGGAAACTCAGATTCAGGGGTACCCTGTTGCATCCTCCCGATGAGGGTAGGAGGAGCTTCCAGCACAGGGCGAATCTCCTGACCTGTGAGGCAGCTGATTCTTTGCTCCCCACCCACCTGTCATCAATCTCCCCGCCTGTTGCATCAGGCACAGCCCAGTCCGAGAGCTCTTGCAGGCAGCGCCTTCCAATGTCTGGCCCACTTACGCCCCCTGCTGGCCATAGGTGGAGATATGCACGAACCTGAAGTTCACTTCCAAACATACCAAACAGTCCCTCCGGGGACTCAGTTACTTGATTGGAGCACCGGCTTTGGAGTGGGAAGGTGCGAGTTCGAGTCCTGCTTTACTTGTGGGACACTATCGTGGGTCCTCACCCTCGCCTTCCTCATCTTTTAAACCATCACCCGACAGGGAGGTTAGTTATGAGGACCGGATGACGCGATGGGCAAAACAAGCTCTTTCATATGGTGCAAAAGGGGTCCAGTCATAAGATTATCCCCCACTTGTCATCCTGATTGGAGGAAGGTTAAGAGTAGGAGCCTGAGGCGGGCCCCCCCTGCCGTTTCAGCCCTGTGAGCTCAGGCAAGCCTCTTGTCTGCCTCAGCGGCCGGGTTTCCTCACCTGTAAAATGTGGGAGAGCCGGTCTCAAAAAGGGGAGGGGGGCTGTTGCAAAATTAGATTTGGTAAAATAAAGCTTGTCATGTATGCGGCTCAGAGCAACTGCTTCACAGATGTTGCTAACACAGGAACACAGGCAGCCTCTAGAGGTCACCTGACAGTGTGCTGTGGAGGCTGTTACAGAGCTTGGCAGGCGCTTGGAGGATAGTGCACCTGAACCTTTTGTCTCCGAAGAGACGCGTCCCTCTCTGGAGCCACACAGTTCCCGTCTTTGGGAGATCGAAGGTCTGGGGGCCTGACCTCCCACCCGCTGTCTCCCCAGAGTCCGGCCCCTTTCGCAAGAGCCTCTGCTCCCCCATTTTCCTGTGGAGCCTCGTCACCATGGGCATGACCCAGCTGCGGGTCATGTTCTACATGGCTGCCATGAACAAGATGCTGGAATTCCTTGTGACTGGTGGCCGGGAACACGGTGAGGCTCTTTGGAAACCCTGTGGGGGGGGCGGGGGCGGGTGTGCGTGGGGGTGAAGGATGGGACTGGAGGGTCACCTGGCTCTGCGCCCCTTCACCGTGTCTCCTCTCTACCCACAGAGAACAATGAACAGAGACAGAAGGTGCAAGAGACAGGTAGGGAGATCCCTGGCCCGTACTTACCCTGACCTGTGCCATTCTTTGGGCGGGACTCGTCCTGACTGGGTCAGAGGAGGCTGTTGAGCGCTGTCTTCCTCTGCTGGGGGGTGGGTGGCTGTGTGCACCGAGCTGCTGGCATCCTGACCCCAGTTCTGTTCCTGCCCAGTGGAGTTCTACTCGTCCATCTTTGGAGTCATGCAGCTGCTCTGTCTCCTCACCTGCCCCCTCATTGGCTACATCATGGACTGGCGCATCAAAGACTGTGTGGATGACCCAACTGAGCGCGCTCTGAGTGAGAGTGCTTCCTTTGGAGATACCAGGTGACCCACAGGGTGGTGCTGACAGGAGCCCCGATGAGAGTTTTCGTTCCTTCCATGTTTGTGTATAGAGCATCTCACTTCGTTCTCCTAAGAGGTCTGAGAAAGCACTTCCCGGCTTTACAGATAGGGAAACAGGCTAGAGGAGGCAGGGTCTGTTTGGCATAAGAATACCTACAGTTGAGGGCTGGCTGTACGCTGGGCACTTTGCATCATTTGAGTCCCACAGCATCTCTATGAGGTGAGTTCATGATGGCCTTGACAGAGGAAGAAGCCGAGACCTGGGTTGTACCAGTAAATAACCACACAGCAGGCTCCTAAGCCAGTGCCGTAAAGCATATCCTCCTGAGCTTGCCTGAGCTTGGAGGCTTAATGCCTGTCATCCAAGCAGGAGGCTGAGGTGGGAGGTTGCTATGAGTTTGAGGCCAGCCTGGGCTACATCACCATCCTTCGCCGGCTTTGGCTGCAGAGTGAGACCCTGTTTTAAGACAAAGGCTAGGAAAGGGGAGGACTGGCTTATCAGCTGCCTCTTGCTCTGAGATGCATTGCCCTGTCTCCAGACAGCAAATGTTGACTATTCCACACAGCTGCCTGGGGGGAGGGAGTCTGGGAGTGCCTTCGCTGGATGGGTCTGACCTGGGGTTTCTCCTCGGGTCGTGTTCCATCCTCCTACCATAGCTGGGCCATCTGAAGTACTGCCTGGGTGAGAGCTGCTTCCCAGCTTTGCCCATGTGACGGGGCGTGGAGTTCAGGGCCTGCCAGTGTGGCCTCTGTGAGGGCTACTTTGGATATGGCAGATGGCTTCCTGACAGGAAGCGTTCTCGTTCTGGGAGACGGGAGAGGTGAAGACAGGAGCTGTTGTGTCTTCTTTTTTTTTTTTTTTGGTTTTTCGAGACAGGGTTTCTCTGTGTAGCTTTGAACCTTTTCCTGGAACTCGCTCGGTAGCCCAGGCTGGCCTCGAACTCACAGAGATCCACCTGCTTCTGCCTCCCGAGTGCTGGGATTAAAGGCGTGCGCCACCACGGCCCACGTTGTGTCTTTTATAATACAGTCTTAGTAGTAACTGCTATCAATCTGTCATAGTCTATGGTCACAGAGTGAGCCTGGTGGAGTAGAGGAAGGCCCGGAGTTACCATGGGCCTCTGACTGGCAGGAGACTAAAATTGGATCTGGAACTCAGGACTACCCCCCCCCCCTTTTTTTTGTCTTGAGAATGTGGGAGCCGGGGACTTGAAGAAAGGGTGTCTAAGGGTGGGCCCAGTGGCTTCCCTTTGTTTCCTGGGCTCCAGCCTTCTGTCTTTACCTTCTGCTCTCCATGTGTGAAGGCCCATTCTCAGAGCCCATCCTCGACAGATGAGCAGCCTGTGCTCATCTCAGCCTACTGTCCTCTTTCCTGAGCTGGCCCCGAGCTCTTGGTCGTGCCCCAAATGGGGAGATTTCTGGGCGGTCGTCATGCCGAGCTGCGCCCAGAGTGCCACCTGGTTTTTGTGGGACAGTTGATGTGAGGAATCCCTTCTCCACCTTCCTTCGTATCTATGATCTCCTGACTTCAGTGTGTATGAAGGGACATGCTTGGCACTCTTTCCCTACCAGTTCCCGGGCTTCTGGACATTCTGCATTCTGGGTGTAGACCTGTAGATTTACATTTAAGTGCCCCCTCAAGTTGGTGCTCGTCTAGTTAGGGAGGAAACCACACTTACGGAGAAATGGCTTTCTTTGTTTTTTCAGGTGAGTGTGTATGTACGTGCATGCTCATGCACGTGTTTGTGGAGGTCAGAGGACGACCTTGGCTGTTGCTTCTCAGGTGCTGTCCATGCTGGGTTTTGTTTTTGAGATAGGTTCTCTCATTGACCTGGAGCTTGCCCAGTCGGCTGAGATCCAGGGACCCAACCTGTCTCCACCTCCCCAGCACTGAGTTTACAGGTGTATACCACTACACCCAGATTTATTTTTTAGACACAGTCTAGCACTCATTATGTAATCCAGGTTGGCCTTGAATTCACAGAACTCCGCCTGCCTCTGCCTCCTGAGTGCCAGGATTTAATTAATTAATTAATGCTTACCCACACCTAGATTTTTTTTTTTAAAGATTTATTTATTATGTATACAGCGTGTATGACTGCAGGCCAGGAGAGGGCACCAGATCTCATTACAGATGGTTGTGAGCCACCATGTGGTTGCTGGGAATTGAACTCAGGACCTCTGGAAGAACAGTCAGTGCTCTTAACCTCTGAGCCATCTCTCCAGCCCCCCCCCCCTTTTTTTTAAACATGGGATTTAGGGGTTAGAACTCAGATTGTTATGTTTGCAAGGCAAGCTCTTCACTGGCTAAGCCGTCTCTCTAGACAGAGAAATGGTGTTCTGCCTTTGTGGCTTTCCTAACTCTGTAGGCGCACCAGCAGGGGTTGAGGCCAGGCTGGTACCAAGGAGCTTCCAGGAGTTCCAGGCAGCAGCCAGTGATGGCCTGTTCTTTTCAGGGATGGAACTACTACCAAGTTCACCAGACCACGCTACCGAAAGATCCAAAAGCTCACCAATGCCATCAATGCCTTCACCCTGACCAACATTCTGCTGGTGGGCTTTGGCATCACCTGCCTCGTCAGCAACCTCCAGCTGCAGGTACCTGCTTTCCTCCACTCCTCTCCATTCCTGGACCTTCCCTCCCCACCATGGGAATGCTCTACCGGTGCCTGTATACCAAAGAAGCATGCCTCTGTTCCAGGTCTCTTTCCCGGGTTCTCCGGGAGCTGTGCCTAGTAGATTATGTTGGTGGGGGTTGGGTCAGGGTAGAACTGTATAGATGGCCCGGCAAGACCCATGTCCCCCTTCTCTCTGCCTTGATCTTTCTGACCCTCTTCTCTCTCTTGGGTTTCAGTTGGTGGCCTTTGTCCTGCACACCATAGTTCGTGGTTTCTTCCACTCGGCCTGTGGAGGTCTCTATGCTGCAGTGTGAGTCACATGGACCATGTTGTCTTCTGGAGCTTTGCCTGAGTAGTTAGGGATTTTTAGCTAGAACTGAAAGGGGCCCAACTTCCTCTAAAGCAGCCTTTCTCCCGGTCTCCCTTCAGTAGTGACTGTCAGAGGCAAAAGTGATCATGGAAACTGTTCACAGATTATGGCAGGAGCTAGTGATCACAGAGAACCCACCCCCTATTCACAGAGACGCCAAAGTCATGTCTTTCCCAAAGGCAATGGGAAAGCCTGGTCTGATGAACGTTTTGGCCCTGGGCCTGGCTTGAGGCCTTTCTCCCCATGCCTGTCTTGTAGAGATTTCTTATAGTGTCCCGATGAACATCCCTGGTTCCCTTCTCTCCTCATTCCAACTGCAAGGCACTGTTGAGAGACTTCTCTGCACGGATCACATCACACAGTGTCCCTTCCCTGGAAGGTTCTGGGTGGGTGTTTGGCTACACCTCCTTATAGCGGTCTCAAGCAGAGGGCAGCCCCTCCCCTGCACTGTCCCAGCCAATGCCTTCCAGTCGCCTTTGATGGCTTTTCTCTGAACACTCATATCTGGGGTATCTGCAGTCCTCTTGGCTCCACTTTTCACATGCCCACATCTGGTTTCCCAACCTTGACTGTCCCAGTCCCCCTCCAACCCACGGTCATCACCAGCGTGGATCACTGCCAATCTGCGTCCCCTCTAGCTGGTGCCGCCTCCCTCTCTCCATTTGTTTGTGTTTTTTGAGACAGGGTTTCTCTGTGCAACCCTGGTTGTCCTGGAACTCACTCTGTAGACCAGGCTGGCCTCGAACTCAGAGATCCTCCTGCCTCTGCCTCCCAAGTGCTGGGTTTAAAGGTGTGCGCCACCACCACCCACTCTTCTTTTAACATGGGCTGGCTCACTAGTTAGGACACAATAACTCTTCACATCTCGCGTGGTTTCTCATCTCTCCTTGCTCCAGAGTAGGGCCAAAGTTCCTAAAGACCTGGGCCTAGGACATCTTGGCCCTTTTCCTTCCCCAGTCTCCCTGTCACTCTCCTTCAGCCTCGAGAGCCGACTTGTAAACAACATACCCTAAGTATGTTCTTTCCCGAGGGCCTTTGCACTTGGTAATGTCACTGGATCATGCTTCCTCCAGATACCTGCAGGGTTTATAGTTTTACCTTCTCACCTTCTCAGGGGGCATACCTATCTGTCTGTTTGGTATGGCTGCCTCTGGCTACCTCGTCTGCATCTGCAAGCCCCTGACTCCCCTGCAGGATTCCACCTCTCTATTTAGCTTTTCTCCTTAGCTCTTAGCATTAACACACTCTGCATTTATCTTGTTTATACCACCGCTCAAGATATCTGTTGAGTTCATTGCTTTCCTCCAGCACTCAGAACAGTGTCTGCACAGAGGAGAAGCTCGGTAAACATTATGGAAAGAACAACACGAATAGCCCAGTGAAGCTCGTCCTATCCCTGCTATTAGTGGAGGAAGTGGGAGACAGAGAGGTTGCTGGGCCGGAGCGGGTCCTGCCTCTGACTCTTGGATGTCCCTCTGAATAGGTTCCCATCCAATCATTTTGGGACACTGACAGGCCTTCAGTCGCTCATCAGTGCTGTGTTTGCTCTGCTGCAGCAGCTGCTCTTCATGGCCATGGTGGGACCTCTGCGTGGAGACCCCTTCTGGGTGAGAGCTGGTTCAGCACGGGGCCCAGGGAACACTTCCCAATACCGGGGAAGGGGAAAAAAGGGCTGGTATGTGCTGGCACCTCTCTTTGCATCCCAGCCAGGAGGTGCCTTGGAGATTCCCTAATGTGGGTTTGTCAGGGCTGTCTGCTCATCAGAACCCTTCCCGGAGAGTTAAAAACACACGTCTCCCAGCCTCAGATCAGTCACTCTCTTGATCTGGTTCCAAGAGTTTGCTTTTATTCTATTTTATTTTTAAAAGCTTTGTCATGTGTGGGGTAAGTGTGTATGAGTATACTCATGCTTGTGTGTGTGTCTATGTACGTATGTGGAAGCCCAAGATTGACGTTGGGAGTATTCCTTGATTGCTTTGCACCTTATTCACTGAGGCAGGGTCTCTTAGTTGAACTCAGAGCTTAGCAATGTGGACAGTCTAGTTAACCAGTTTTCTCCAGGGAACTAGAATTATGGGTGGACCAGCTCTCCCATGCAACATTTATATGGATTTTGGGGATCCGAACTCTGGTCCTCATTCATGTGCTGAAAGCCTCCCCCCCCCCATCTATCTCCCCAGCCCCAGGATTTGTTTTAATAGGGTTCCAGGTAAGTTGTGTACTGGCCTGGCTCTAGTCCTGGACTGCATGCAGGTAGGTACCTCTAGTCCCATTCACTAGAATGATGTGATGCAGGCATCCTCTCTCAGGACTCTTGAAACAGGGTTCAGTGGCAGGGTGCCTTCTCCCGTGTGAGTATCACTGTTGTCATTAAGGCCTTTCCTCGCAGAACTCTCATCCACCTCCCTGATTTCTGCTTGTGGGGCACTCAACCATGGACCGTCCTTCTGAGAGAACTGTGACAAATTACCCTCCCCTCAGCTTGCTGAGAAGTTGCTGTGCCAAGCATACTGCCTTTTTTTTTTTCTTTCTTTCTTTTTTTTTTCACGTAGTCTTTCCACAGTAGACCTGAGAAGGAGGTACTCAGATGAGATTCTTTGCCCAAAGTCACACATGAGTCATGGAGTAGGATGTGATCTGAGGGAGCTTGTGAAGGGCACAGGCCTGGGCGTGGCAAGTCATCTGTGCTCCAAGCTGGCTAGATATCCATCTGGTTCTTTTGACCATGCCAGAGAGCTCCTTCTTGACACTGCAGGGGGATCCTACTGGCTGGCATGAGCCAGGCTTCTGGGGCACAGGTTTTGCCACTCCAGAGAGTGTTGCATCGTGGAGCCCGACCGTCACTTCCCAGACGTTAGTGTTCTCACCTCAGCCCCTTGGCCAGGTTGCTGACCGTCTGAGATGCTGGTGAAAGAGTCGCCACGCCTGCTGGGTCTCACCATATTTCTTCTCCTGGTCCTGGACCTGGAGTACAGGTGGCCGCGCTATCCTCCATGTTGGGAGTCTCAGGCCAACTCCCTGAAGAGGGTGCGTCCTGCTAGTCCTAATTTGACTTTCTTTGCTTCTCTTTCCACACTCTGAAGGTGAACCTGGGCCTCCTGATTCTTTCCTTCCTGGGATTTCTGCTACCTTCCTACCTCTTCTACTACCGGTCCCATCTCCAGAGAGAGTATGCCACCAGTTTTCCAGACCCACAGAAGGTGCTCAATGATTCCAAGGTGGCTACATAGACTCCTGAGGCTAAGGGACTTGGAGGACAGACAACCACAGCTTGATAAAGCAAAGGGAATGCCTCAGTGGCTTCTACCTGCACTGTGTGCATGGAGCCAAAGGGCCGTGGAGTTATAAATACTAAGAGTTCTATTTTTGTAGGGACTTGCAAAAAGGGAAACAAAACAGAAACCTCCAAAACAAAACAAAAAAAAAACCAGCCTTTAAAAATCTTCTCCAAAGCAAGCTGTCTGTTAACTGAAGACAGTGCCTGTTCCAGTGGTACTGGGCCATCTTCCTGGACTGGAGGAAACCAGAATGTGGGGCTGCCCTTTCCCCACACTTGAAGCCCTAGGAGCCTCCTCTGTGGCACTGCCTCTGAAGACTCATGGGATCAGTGAACAGACTCTCCTAAGATCGCAGCTGGCGTGTGCACACGTACATCCTGTGCACATGCGCATGGCGACCTTTCCTGCAGGAGGGGCTGAGGTGCTGGCTGTATCCACGATTGGGTGTTGGGGCTGGAGGGCGGGTTCCCTCCCTGGTGCTGTTTCTTACAGGTCTTAGAGGAAATAAAAAGGGAAATGAAAGTCTGGCTGGTGTGTATCTGACTGGAGGGAGTGGGTTATTGTCTTTCCACACCTCCATCCCTCTGTCTCACCAGGCTTGCCTGGGAATTTAAGAAGGATGATGGGGGTGGGGGGATGGGGCTGGAGAGATGACTCAGTGGTTAAGAGCATTTCTCCCAGAGATCCCAGGTTCAATGCCCAGTACCCACATGGTAGCTCACAACTGTAACTCCGATTCCAGGGGATCTGACACCCTCACACAGATATGCATGCAGACAAAGCACCAATGCACAGAAAATTAAATATAAGTAAATAAAAATATATTTAAGAAGGATGTGTTGCACACCTGTCGTCTGTCCATCTTCCTCTTCTCAACTGTACTGCTTTGCCATCTGTCTTGGTTACTTTTCTGTTGTGCTGATGCCATGCGCAAGGCAGTGTATAAGAAGGAAGAATTTGTCGGAACTTACAGTTTCAGAGGGTGAGTCCATGACCACCCTGGCAGGAGACAGGTAGGCATGGTGCTGGAGCGGGAGCTGAGAGCTCATCTTGAGACAACAGTCAAGGGGCAGAGAGAGAGAAAGCTAACTGGGGATGGTGTACATTTTTAAGACCTCAAAGCCCACCCCAGTGACACACTTCCTCCAACAAGGCCACACCTTCTAATCCTTCCCAAACAATTCCACTAACTGGGGACCAAGTATGCAAACATATGAGCCTCTGGGGCCCATTCTCATTCGAAGCACCACAGTTAGCGCCTAAAGGGAGTTCTGCATCGCCACTTTTCCAGGGTTTAGGGGTATATCTTGGAAGCTGCTCTTTCTCCATTCAAAAGATCAGGGCCAAATGCCAAAGAAAGACATAGTAAGCCAGATGTGGTGGATCCCACCTGTAATCTCGGCACTTATAAGGAAGGCTGAGGTAGGAGGATTGTCATGAGTCTGAATTGCATAGTAAATTCCAGGCCAGCCTGAGCTTCAGAGTGACACACACACACACACACACACACACACACACACACACACACACACACACACAGATTAAAGAATGACTCCAGCTTTCCCGCCACCAAGTCATGTCTGGGGCCTACAACACCTATGTGTTATCTCCTATTTTATCTTAAAACATCAGGCAAATTCTGAGCTTTATGTTACACTGAACTTACATTTAAACATTAAAGTCAGGCTTTAAAATTATTCACATTTAAAGGAAACACCAGGGGTGGGGCTGGAGAGATGGCTTAGGAGTTAAAAAACACTGACTGCTTTCCAGAGGACCTGGGTGCTTCCCGGCACCCACATGGCAGCCCACAACTGTCTGTAATTCCAAGATCTGACACTCTCACACAGACAGACATGCAGGCAAAACACCAATGCACGTGAAATAAGTCAATTATAAAGAAAACACCATCTTGAATGATGAGAGACACATCAGGAAGACGTGACCTTGTTTATCTCACCTTTCACCAGTCTGTGCCCTGGGACAGAAAGCCTTAGCAGTTAGTCATAGACTGGCAGAGTCACTAATGCCAGCTGACGATCTGTCTTCCACACAGGTGAGTCATTTCATCCCAGCTATGGTTGGAGGGGTTAGCAGTATACAGCACCAGAAAGGTTAAGGCCAAAGCCAAGTGTGGTACAGAGGGGCAGGGAATAACCAGGCAAGGCCAGGGAGCAATGTGACTACCGAAGCCTACCCCAATGGGCAGTCAGGGACAGAAAGGATTACCCAAGCCTTCTGGTTCTCAGGACTGAGGTGACTTGTTTGTGTTTGAGGGTTTCACGCTTTAGCCAAGGCTAGACTGGCTAAATTCACTGTGTAGATGTTGCAATCCTGTTGCCTCAGCTTCCCCAGTGCTGGATTGGCAGATGAGCACCTCTGACTTTGGAGGGACTCCAGTAGAGTCTTGGCCCCGCACCCCGTGCAGGACCCCCAACTGTTAGGGCCGGAGGATAGCATGCCGGATGAACTTCCCTGTTTGTTCTGACTTCTCTTGAGGGATAAATAAAGCAGAATGACCCACCCATCTTCAAATGACAGAACTGCAGGGAGGTCTGGAGGGAAGTCACACAGCAGATGGCGGCTCTAAGCAGACTCCTGACTCCCTACGTGGCCTTTTGTGCGCAAGAAAAATCTCAGAATGGGTGAGATCCTGTCAGTGAGGCTGGCTAACTCCCGGAGGCCCTGTCAGAGTCTCCCTGCGTTCTCTTTCTTCCCAGGACTCTAATTTTGCCAACCTCAAGCCATCAAGGGACCTGGCTGGCATCCCACCAGGCAGTCTAATGAAGACGGGCACAGGAAGCCCAGGGTGTGTGTGTGCGTGCCCGCGCGCGCGGTCCTCAGTGTGCCCAGCAGGCGGCGCTGCATGTTTGCGGGTGGCCAACTCGCGGGGTGGCAAGCCAGGAGGGGAACCCCAGACCACTGCGCTCAGACCCACGCTTCTGGCACCCGGGCCTCGGTCTTCCTACCTCTGTTTGCTCTGCCTTTTCCCGAGATCTCCTCTACGCCTCCACCCCACCCCACCCCCAGCCTTGAAGCATTCTCTCTCCAGCCCACGGGCCCCTCAGAAGAAGAAGGGGGCCTCCAGTTACTCTGCCCGGCTGAGGCCAGGGGTTGAGTGAGAGATGGAGGCCGACATGTGGGCCTTCTAGGAGAGGGGTGTCATCATTCTCCCACTCCTGGGGATGGGGGGAGTTTGGGGAGGGGGTTGGGTAGGGGCGGAAGCAAGCTAGAGCCGTGTTTGTCGCTGCGCTGCCTAGAGGAACAGATGGCTGGGGAGGGGAGAGGGTGCCTTGCCGGGAGGAGGGGTGCGGGGGCCGGAGGATGAGGAACGAGGAATTTCGACGCCCCGAGTCTCCCGGGAGAAGTCCCCCTCCTCATCTCTTCCCAGAAAGAGGGGCGGGCGAACGCCTGTCGTTTTCCGGAGGAGCACCGGTCTCTGGCTCGCCCTTTGAGTAGTCAGCCGCCTAGGGGCGCGTCCCGGCTCGCTGACTTCTACGAAAAGACAGGCCAGAGGCCGACCGGAGCCGCCTGGGGCTCAAGGGTTAATAGAGCTGCGATCCGAGGGACGAGGGGGCGGCAGGAAGCCGGCTCTGGGTTGGGAGCGAGTTCAGGGATCGCAAACAGCTCTAGGAAAACGTGTTAATTGGAACTTTATGCAGATGATCTGGAACTGGGGGCTGGGGAAGGCCGGAGTGAACAGGTCAGAAGGATGTTGGACACAGCTGAGTTCCCGCGGGTGCAGAGGGCCCCGGTTAGGGTGGTGACACATGCGGACCCATATATTCCTGAGATGCACCCTATTAGAGGTTCACTGGTCTTGGGGAATGAAACGCTTGCTATCTGGCTCTCCTCCCCAGAAAGCTAGTGGGAGCTCCTTCCTCTGTGATTACCCATCTCCGAATCTTGGGTCCAGCAAGGCAGAGTCTCTTGAAGTGGCCATGAAGACATGAAGGGCACACCTTGCATGTGTCAAGTCCCACTTTTGGCTACTTCCCAGTCTCATCTTGGCTATGTCCCACCCCATACAATTTGGGTCCCTTTCTCCACTTATCATATTATCCATTTTGTCTTTTGTTTTAAAAAACAAAAAAACCAAATAGGACCTCACTTTGTACCTCAGGTTAGCCCGGAACTCTTTATATAGGCCAGGCTGGTCTCAAACTCATGACTGTCCTCTTGCCCCAGCCACCCTAGTGCTGGGATTACAGGTAAGCACCGGTCACTCAGGCTGACATTCTCCATCTTTTCTTCGTACCCACTGTCCTCTACGTGGAGTTCCCATCCACAGCTTCCACCGAGTGTGTATGCTTGAGGAGGAACGCCAACTTGCTTTTGTGTTGTCCTGTCTGCTCCCCCCTCCCTCCCCTCTTCACCCTCAAGAAGATGACTCTCAGACTTGAGAGCACTTACAGCCCTTCTCCACTTGACAAAATGCAGATTCCTGGGCCACTGGGTATTTGATTCCGAGGTGGCGGTGGTGGGGTCAGGAACTGTCTTTCCATTAGTCAGGTAGAGAGAGGACTGGAAAAATGGGGGCCCACTTCCTCCTATCGTGTCCTGTGCCGCCCCCCCTCCTCCCCCACACTGTGGCTGTCTCCGGTGTGATGGGATCTGGCTCGGAGAAGGTGCCAGGAAGGAAAAAAGAGAGGGTGGAGGCCATGGGTAAGGAAAGATGATAAAGGGGTGATCTGCACCTGGCTGGCTCTTCTCTGAGCTGGCCCCTTCTTCCCATCCCCTCCCTCAGGGGTTTCCCTCCCCGGCCCCTCCCCCCCCACTCTTCAGCCAGCCTTGCCCACTTTCTAACCTCTCCCTTTTCATCTGTAGTCCTTGGGAGAATTTTGAGGCTCAGGCTATTAGGAGGTGGCTGGGGACACCAAAATCAATTAGAGTCCCACCTTCAGAGAGAGAGAGAGAGAGAGAGAGAGACACAGACAGACAGACAGACAGACAGACAGACAGAAAAACGACAGGAGACAGGAGAAGAGACAGGGCTTGTGGGAAGGACAGCCCTGACAAAGTCAGCGGCCTGCTGGGTACTTGCTTCCCACTACGGCTCAGTTACATCGGGGACTCTGTGTCACCGCCCCTCCCCCACCTCCCCCAGATGTCCAAACCAGGAGCACCAACAAAAAGGGACATCGGGAGAATTCGCCGAGACCACAGCTAGGAAGGGGGAGAACAAACAAGCAGCTCTTCATCCTTCTCCTTCTCCAGACAGCTTGCCCTGAGCAGAGTTGCCCCGGAGCCCCCTCTGTGGCCCCGGCCCCAGAGCAGTGGGATAGAGAAGGGCATCTTGTCTAGATGAAAGGAGATGGATTCTCAGGTTTCAGGACATCTGACAGGTTTGGCTGGAAGCATTAAAAATTCATAGAGAAACCTGACCCCGGCTGGACCTTGGGCCTGCCACCTGGACTGTTCCTGGTTTTGTGTCCTCTCGGAGTTTGTTGGCCAACTTTCCCTTCTGAAGGGTCCTGGAAGCCCGGTCTTCATGTTTTTATGGAAGAGCTCTCTAACAGATTAGAGATCTAAAGTGGGTAGCCAGCTGCTCGGGAAAACTGGGCTGAAAACACCCTCATCCCCCACTCTGGGTGTAAGAACCTGAGAGGCTTAAGGGCTTAGGAAGCTTGTCATCTGGCGTCCTTCTAGTCCTCTCCCCAGGCAACTGCATGCTCACGCTGCAGTTGGTGATGACAAAGCCTGTCTGTGCTTCCCACGATGGTCAGTAGGGGGCAGCCGTCCTCGGGACGACTTCATCTTCTCTGTACTCTGAAGGGCAGTAAAGAGCCCTGCCGGCAGGTAGGGAGGTGCAGTGTTCGCCTTGAGGAAGGGCTCTGGAGTCTGTGATCTGAGAGGAGCAGGGAGGAGTTTCCTAGCTTCGGAGAGATGAAGGGACTTGAGGTAGCATTCGAAACAGATTTCTGGGTTTCTAGTGTACCAAAACCAGGTGGCCAGGTGGACACAAACATTCAAGCGTTAGAGAGAAGGTTGGCCGGTGGCCACCGAGGGTGGAGGCTTGAATAGCAGCTGCTTCTCGACAGTGGAACCCCTCTGGTGCCTGGATAAGGTGTTTTACCTTGACTCTGAAGGCAATGGGGAGCCATGGTAGGTTCCAGAGTGACATAGTGATATGATGCACAGTTCGGCCAGATGAGTCTAGTCACTGTGGGCAGGCTGAGTGGGAGGCAGGGAGGCCGAGAGCAGAAAAAGCAGAGTAGAGATTACTTCCATTTTCTTCCCTATTCCAGGCACGAGGTAATGAGGAGCTTCAGCAGGGAGGTGGCGGGGCTAGGAAGAAGAGCATGGACAGGGGCCAGGAGGGGGACTTGGGAACCGAGTAGATAGATGTAGGAGATTAGAGAAAGGCGGAGTTAGCGTCGACACTGGGTGTCTGAAAGATGAAGCATGCAGAATGGGGACACACTCATGGAATGCGGGAGGTGAATGGATTTTTGTTTCTTTCAGGAGTTAGGGGAATCATGGATAAGTCCATTCCTGAACACTCTAGCCTCAGTTTCCTTATCCGGACATGGGTGGGGGTTGGAAAAACATGGCTTTGCCCATCTCTTCTATTTTGGAGTGTCACACTCAAAGCTGTCAATCTGGATTGTTTGGAGAGGCTGGGGCCCTGAGCTTGTGAGATTGCTGGGTGTGGGGTCCTAGGTGAGAGGGTGTGGGTCCACGGCCGTATCTGAGGTGCATCTGCCTGTTTGTGGGACCCGGGACCCGTGGGTGGCTGGTGTGCTTGCACGCGCCACAAAGCTCCATTTTGTGAGTGTTGGTGTGAGAGAGAGAGCTGGAGAGTGTGGGTGTGCACGTGATGGGCGTCCCTTGGTCTGTCTGGGCTGTCAGTGGCTGCGGCGGGGGCCAGTGGGGAGCAGTATTGCTCTAGGCTTCTTCCTGAGGCTCACACACACGACTCCTGCGCTCGTTGTTCTGAAATAGCATCTGGACCGAAGGCCCATGAATATTTCACAACGATAATTCTGTGACCTGGACAGCCTGCCTCTGATTTACCAGCACACTCCCCTCCCCTGCCCTGGCCCAGAAGCCCCTCCTCCAACACAGCACTGCCCTAGCTCCCATCTCCCCTTCCCCTCAACCTTACCTCTAGACCCCCTCCCAATCCTACTCATGACTTTCCTCAAAGCCAGCCTGACACAGGCCCTGTAAGACTCCAGCTCGGAGCTCTCCAGTTCTGACCTCTGCTTTCACTAGCCCTCACCCATTTCACATTCATAGCCAATGTCCATCTGCTACAGTCCACGAGTGCTGATTCCTGCCTGTTTCTGCCCCCTCTTCTCAGCATCCTGAGACATCACTGGTCAGGGTTATTGGATCCCTGAGTAGCAGCTCAGTCCTGAACCCCAGCACCCAGGTCCCTCCCATCCTGCCATTCCCTTCTCCCAGGCTACAACCCAGTCAGTTCTGGATCCTTGATCAGTTCCATCTGATAGAGCCCCAAGGCTAAGGTTCATTGCTAGCCCTGCCCCTGGCCTCTCTTTACCCACCCTAGAGAGGGAGCCTCTAGTTTCAATGTAAGGCACCCCAACTTGAATTCTTTGTCCCTTGACCACCTTAACCTCTTAGTCTCTCCTAATCTGCTCAGAGAACTGCTGGACCTGATGCACCCACGGAGGCTTCTATCTCACCGGGGCAAAGGGAGAAAGACCGGATGGCTGTAGGGGTGTCCAGAACAGCCGTGTGTGCTGAATACTTCACAGGGGCATTCAGCAAAGAGGGCAAACACAAGCTGGGGTCTAGTCTTAGGTTCTGCTCTTTCAGGCTTTTGTGGTACGACTTCGTTCCCCCAGGAAGCCGTGCCTTTCCCAGATAGGCCCAAAGCCACGTTTCGCTGGTGGTGCCCATGAATATCTAAGTTACACCTCCTTGCAGGGGAAGGTGGAGGCTTACATGTCTTTCCTGGAGGCCACTCAGCCCAGCTGGTGGCCACCTCCAGATTCAGTCGTTCAGCTATCAAACACTTCAGGGCTGGTGGTAGCTGCTTCTCTTGGGCAAATCGGTGCCATCAGCACACACCTTTAACAGCCAGGGTAGCTCAAGAAATTGAAGCCTCGGGAGGATCAGAATGACCTTGAGGCCCAAGGGAGGTGAAGTCACTCATCAAGTCCACACAGCAGGAAATCCTGGTGGCCTGAGAAGGCCCTTCCTTATCTAGCCCTCCAAACCTGAAACCCTTAACAGTTCTAAGTCCTACTTCTGCTTTTGAGGTCTTGATGGGGGGAAAAAAAATAAAAAACCTTACAGGAGATAAAATAATAGAATTTTTTAATAAATTTTCCCCCAAACAACTTCTTTTGATCTTCACCACACAGGGGCCATGGTGGAGAGGAAACTACTCTCCAGGCACCCTAAAAAGTGTTCTGGGTAGACTTAGGAGAAAAGTATTCCTCCGGGTGTCAGGAGGCTAAAGGGATCAGGACAAGCAGGGTCCAGGGGCAGCCTGGGCCTTGCTGAGGCATCCCTCCCAAGGTCCGGGGGAGGAAGGGAGGCTCCCGGGGGAGCTTTCAAAGGCTCTGCTGGTGGAAGGTGCTCTACAGACAAAAGCCCCTCCAGTCCACTGTGGGGCCCTGGAGAGAGGAGCATCGGCTGCCTGGGGTGCCCCGCCCCAGCCTTGGGATTGGGGAACAAGAGTTAGTGGCTAGAATCAGGGCGAATGGGGCCGAGCCACCTTATACACCGCCTTAGGGGCTGCCATACGTAAGTCAGAACAGCCCAGAAGGCAAATGAGGCAGCGTGGTCCCGGGGAAGGAAAGGAGCGAGGGGGCCTAGGGAAGGCGCCAGGCCGGGCCGCAAACAAGGGGCGAGGACGGAGCTGCAGCTCGGTGGGGGGCGGAGAAGGGGGAGCGGGGCGAAGGCCGTGGCCTCTTCCGTCTGAGCACCGCAGTCAGAGGTGATGGGGCGCCAGGAGCAAGAGGCAGAGCAGAGGGGTGCACAGCCCGGCCGAGAGCGCGGGGCCACGCGAGTCTGCGGGCGCCTGGCACGCGGCCCCGGGACACGTCTGCTCGCCCCGCTGGTCCTCGCCGCCGTAGCCACCCCAGTAGTCGTCCTCGGTGGGCGCGTCCCCGCCCTGACGCCCCCTCGAGTCCTCGGCGGGCAGGTCTCGGTAGAGCGTGGACGGGTCCGCGGGGGGCGCGCCCGCCTCGGCCACGCCGTACAGGTGGTTGGAGGAGCTGTTGCCACGCGCGCGGCTGCCCGGCCGCGTGGGCGTGGGCGGCGGGCACGATTGGAAATCGGCCTCGCGCAGCGCGCGCAGGTCCCGGCCCTGGCGCTCGGGCGGGGTGGCGCAGGTCACGTCGGAGCTGGACACCCGCGCGTGCTGGAACCAGGCCCAGAGCGGCCGAGCGCGGCAGTCGCACGCCCAGGGGTTGGCGTTGAGCCGCAGGAACTCGAGAGCCGGCAGATCGGCCAGCGCCTCGCCCGGCAGCGAGGCCAGGCTGTTGTTGAACAAGTAGAGGATGGTGAGGCGGCTGAGGCCGCGGAAGGCCGCGCGGTGCACGCCCTGCAGCCGGTTCCCGTGCAGCAGCAGCCGGTCCAGGCTGCCCAGGCCGCGGAACACGTGCTCCGTGAGCAGCCGCAGGCGGTTCCCGTGGAGGAAGAGGTGGCTCAGGTTGGCCAGGTCCGCGAACAAGTCATCCTGAGTAGGGGGATGGAAACAGAAGAGAGTGGCCTGAGACGGGGTCGGGGACTCCACTCCAGGACCTGGGGAGGGTAAGGAAGGCATAATGGCAGGGTGGAACAGTGCGAAAGGGCTTGCCTTTTCTCTTTTTTGAGATACCATGTATCCCAGTTATGTATCCAAGAGGATCCTCTCATCTCCTGCCTCCACCTCTTGATTTCTGAGATTTCAGGTTTGTGCTCCCTGTCAGTTTTATGTGGTGCTGGAGATCACACTCAGGGTTTCAGAACATGCTAGGCAGCGCCTTATCAACTGAGTCCTGAATTTAAAACTTGCATTTTCCAGCCTATTTCCTATGGAGAAAACTATACAACTGAGGTCAGTGGGTCCCTTTGCCCAGGGCCCCAAGGGACTGAACCCAGCACGGCAATGCCAGGCAAGAACTCTACCGCTGCACTATAGCCACAGCTCCCCTTTCTACAGTTATTTTTGAGACAGTCTCACCAAGTTGCCCAGACTGACTTTGGGCTTGATGTTTAGCCTAGGTGGATCTTCAGCTAGCCATCCCGGTGCCTCAACCTCTTGAGTAGCCTGGATTGGCTCTCAGTAACACAATAGCTGGCTTTGTCAGTGGGTCTTAAAATTTATTTATTTATTTACCCCCTCCTCGTGTGTGTGTGTGTGTGTGTGTGTGTGTGTGTGTGTGTGTGTGTGTGTGTGTATACAACTTGTGGGAGTGTATCCTGCCTTTACATCATGTGGGTTTCCAGGATAGAACTCAGGACACCAGGCTGGGTAATAATCACCTTTCTGACAAGCCATCTTTCCAGCCTTTCTAGGAGAATCTAGATCCTGTCAAGATGGCAGTCAATACTAACCGTCACACAGGGACAATGCCATCTCACCTGCCTGATTCTTAAATTTAGAGTGTATCCCAATCCCTTTCAGATTCCAGCACCTTCCCAGCAGCTTGCCATCTAGGCTGAGAACAAGTCTGCTTTTCCCATGCTGATGATAAGGTTGCCTGGAGACTGTGCTTGGAGCTTGAGAGTTAGATCCTGGGTCTGCCATGAACTTTGATACCTGGGAAAAGTCACTCTGTCTTTCTGTGCCTCAGTTTCTCTCTCTGTAAAACGTGGCAATTAATGGAGCAGAATGTATCAAGATACTTGGGATAGCCAGGCAGTGGTAGCGCACACCTTTAATCCCAGCGCTGGAGAGGCAGAGGCAGGTGGATCTCTGTGAGTTTGAGGCCAGCCTGGTCTACAAAGTGAGTTCCAGGACAGCCAGGACAACACAGAGAAACGCTGTCTTGGAAAAGAAGAAAAAGATGCTTGGGGTAAGGTTTTCACATGGGCAGACATTGTGTGATCGTTTGTGAAGTTGGCCAAGCCGAGTTACCTCTAAGCATGCTTACTCCTCCGTAAAGTGGAAATGAGTGTCCCTAGCTCTTGGGTCTGTTCTGAGGACCAATGAACAGAGTTCACATAAGGTTCATGGGGTGGAGTGCTGGGTACAGTTCTTACATGTAGAGTTTTTGTCCAGGGATGAAGCCCACAGGCTCAGGAGTTAGAAGCACTGCCACAAAGCCTAGGTTTTCCTTTTCCTAGCTGCTGGACAAGCTGTTTAACCTCACAGAGCCCCTGTCCCTTAGTATATGTATCTTCCTTTAGAAGGTTCTTCAATAGACTGAAGAGGTTAGATGCTATGATGCTGTTGAGGGTACCACCTGATAGAGGCACAGTCAACCATCCATAAATCACGGTTGTCATGACAGCAAGGGGCTCATTTAGAATTCCAGCCCATCCCATCTCATCCATTTTCCTCTAAGGGAGGGTTTCTTTGGGGACGGGAAGTTCTGCTGCTGGCTGAGTTATTCAGGGGACCACTGTCAGCTCCACATCCCAGACTTAGCGAAGGAGGGAAAAAGCTGGTCTCTGAAGCCTTGTATCACTGTCCCTCTTACAGTGTCGGGGACAGGGCCTGGGGTGGAGAAGTCATGTACTGGCCGAACCTTGAGATTATGGCTCAGAAGTGAAGGTATGGGTATGACCGGGGTCAGTGGGGGCTCTGCTTCTTAACCAGCTGACCAGGGAACTTTTGGTGGTCAGCTGGTGTGGGGCTGTAGCTCAGGTGTGGATTACTTGCTTATTCATGTTGAAGGCCCTGAATTGCATTAACACCCTCCACCACCCATGCGCAATGTGATTTGGGAGCTAGTTACTTAAGTGACCACCCATCAAAATCGAGGTTTGCTTCAGATGAAGGGTTATCTGTAGAAAGAGCCAGAACCCCATTCCTCTCTGCTCCCACTGCCTCAAGGTCCTCCCCAAATGGCCGTGGTCAGCAGGTTTAACAGGACATGCGCATCCTCTCTGCTCAGGCCAGTTCACCTTGGCTTGTACCCCAACTCTGGTTCTATCCCACTCCCCCAGTGCCTGGGGTGATGGTTTCTTCCTCATGCTACCTGGGCACCTGGTCGAAGGTCTCAGGAGGGGGAGTATGCTGAGTTCCAGCCCATATCCACAGCCTCCACCTTCCTGTGTTCCTGCGTGTTCGCACCTCCTCCCATCTGCCTTCCGCCCTCTCTGCGACAGGAACTGAGTCTGCCAAGAGCCCTTCTCTTGGCCACATTGAGATCAGTCCTTCTCAACCTTCTTGCTACCTCTGACACCAGCACAACGTTCTCCACCCTCTGATGCCACCACCCTGAATGCCTGTCCAGGTCCCTGGCTGACCTGCTCACCACAACAGCCTCAGTCTTGCTGTGTGCTCCTTTAATTCCTCCTTTCCGGTCCTGCCCAGCGGGTACTCTGGGTCCTTCCGCTTAACCTCTCCCTTGGGGTTTCTCTTCCTAGAGTGTCAGCAATAGCAGGGCACACCCGGAGATGTATGGCTAGAGGATCGATGTGGGGACACAGGAGGGTGGCGCTGGGTTAAGTAACCCTTTGGAGACTTAGGGTTCTGGAAGACAGAGGTTCAGACACCCCAGGGAACCCGGATACTTAGTAACCACAGTCCAATTTTGTATTCTAGCCTCTTCTCCTCTCGGCCCCTGCTCTGAGCCTCAGCCTTGGGGTCCATTCCCTTCCCCCAACCCAAGTTGTAGCCAAATCCCATCGCCACTTCCTGGACTGCAGCTCTCATATCCAGCCCTTCCTCTCTCCACCATTAAAACGGTTCTCTGTGCATTAATAAGCTCTTGACTTTCACAGCCCCAGCCCTCCCCCATCACCTTCTCGCACGCCCCCTCCCTCTGGGCTCGGAACATCTGCTAAAGTCATCCTCTTCCATTTCAAAAACCACATTTCCCTTGCCTCCCGCCTGGCCGGTTCACAGCTTTCTGTATCCATTTGGAATCTAAATGCAGCATCCCTGCACTCCTCAGCCTTGCTGAGAGCATCCTGTTCTTAACCTTGCCTTCCTCCAACCTTCCAATACCTGGCCTTGGAACCTGTCTCATCAGCTTCCCAGGCTGTGTGGCCTTGGGCAGCTCCAGGCACCCCTCTCTCTGGGCCTCACTCTTTCCATCTGTGCCATAAGTGACTTGGAGTGGCTGATCCTTCAGGTCCCCTAAGCGTTTGCTAATTTTGACTCAGTGAGCCTGGGAGTTGATCTCACTCATTCAGCAAAGCTGTTCAGTGTGTGCACTCTGCATCGGGCACCCCCGCTTATGGTGCTTGCCCATCCATGGTAGGTGTCATAACCATCGGCGTCAGCAGGTGATTTGCCAAGTTCTCACTGAATGCCAAGTCCTGCGTGGCACAGATCCTGATAGTATCTTAATCATCGACACTATGAGGCAGATGCTGTGATTTTTTTTTTTTTTTCCTATGTGGAGACGAAGAGAGAGGGGCTCAGAGAAGGGAACCACTTGCTGAGGGCCCAACCGCTAACATGGGTATAAAGTCCAGAGGCGAGACTCCCAACCCCTGTGCTGCGGAACCTAACAGACCTGGGCCAGTTGGAGCCTGGCAACCCCACGGTTGGTGAATTCACTGCTGTCCTTGGCTCCCACCCACTCTGTATTCTTTCCAAGTATCATCCCCTTGGATGATCCTCAGCACCTCCTCCCTGAGCAACAGGCCACGATCTCTCTTTCATAGATGGGACCCCGAGGCCACAGCACATTAGAGAGCGCTTAGATTAGAACTCCAGTCTGCCTGAGCACAAGCACTGCTTGTAAACACTAAGTAAGCTGCTGCGGTGGGGGAGAAGCATCTCTACCATCTGGCCACCCTCCAACAGAGCAGGGATACTGTTTTTGTTCACCCTGGAATCCCTGGCACCCTGCATGCTGCCTGGCATGCAGTAGGTGCTCAGTAAGGAATCTGCTGGTGAATGAACCGGCCTGGCACAGTGCCTCGCCCTCGGCAGACATTCCATGAGAAGAACCTCCACCGTTCTCACGTGCACCTGCCACATCCTACCAATGGGTCTCCTCCAGAGCTCCCTTCCTGGGCAGGCTGGGCTGCATCCTAGGTCACACCTGCTTCCCGAGGATCTCACTGAGCCACATGTTTCCTCACCTGCTTGTGGCATCTCCTAGCCTAGTTCCATCAGGCACTTCACAGGCTGTCTCTTTTCTTCTCTATAAAGGGCCAGGTGTGAAGAGACTTCCTTCCCACGACACCCCGATGCTGCCCAGGCCGAGATTGTTCAGAAAACCCCAATGATCACCTACAGGTTCATTGGGCTTGAGCCTTAGGAGTTCCCAGGAACAGACTGCTGTCTATGGCCTGAGGGTCAAGAGCTATCTATCTATTTATTTATTTATTGGGTTTTTTCTTTTTCTTTTCTTTTTGAGATAGGGTTTCTCTGTGTAGCCTTAGCTGTCCTGAAACGCTCGAACTCACAGAGATCCACCTGCCTCGGCCTCCCTAGAGCTGGGGTTAAAGGCGTGCGCCGCCACTGCCTGGCAAAAGTAATTTATTAAACCCTAAGCTATGCACACCACACATTAACTTATTAGCCTCTCACAGCCCATCTTTGTGGAAGGCATCGTTTTCATGTCTCCCCACAAGGAAGAGGAGATGGAGGCTGAGAGAGGGGAGGCACCTTTCCTAAAGCTAAATAATGAGTAGCTTTTTTACATACTGATAAGGAGATCAGGATCTTAGGAGTAGTCATTAAAACAGAGTCAAGGCCAGTAAGTTGGTTCAGCAGGCGAAGGTGTCTGACACTGTGGTGATCTGAATGTAATTGGCCCACATAATCTCATAGGGAGTGGCACCATTAGGAGGTGTGGCTATTTTGGAGTGGGCGGGGTCTTGTTGGAGGAAGTGTGTCACTATGGGGGCGGGCTTAGAGATTTCCTATGCTCAGGATACCACCCAGTGTCTCAGACGACTTCCTGTTGTAGGCAAGATGTCGGACTGTCAGCAACTACTCTAGCACACCATCATGCTCACTGCAATGATGATAATGGACTGAACCTCTGAACTGTAAGTGAGCTACTCCAATTAAATGTTCTCCTTTATGAGAGTTGCTGTGGTCATGGTGTCTCTTCATAGCAACAGAAACCCTGACTAAGACAGCCACCAAGCCTGACAACCTGGGGTCCATAGTTGGGACCCGGCTGATGGAAGGAGAGAACCGACTCCCCCAAGTCATCCTTTGACATCCACGTGCACGCCATGGCACGTGCATGTACACCCACCTTCCTCTATGCACATAAAAAAAAATGTAATTTAAAAATTAAAAACAAAGGCCAAGCGTCTTTAATCAGAAAATCTGAAATATCCAATCCTCCAAAATCCAAAACTTTCGGAACATCAACAGCACATCATCACAAGTGGGGAATTCCCCACCTTGAAATGTTCCCTGGTCAGAATTACGAAGGTGTCTGAAATTTCCTTTAGGCTATGGGAGACGTGGGTGAACTATGTGGACAAGTGTGTGGGAGACATGGCTGAGCTACATGGGACCTGTCTCCACGATAACTCATCATGTGTATGCAGATCCTCCAAAATCTGAAATAAACACAACCGATCCCCGGCACTTCAGGTCAGGGTACTTAGCCTGTAATAATCATGATTCTTTTGTTTTGGAGTGTGGCCTGTGCTAAATACCTTTCATTTTAATACCGATGAAGCTTCTGGATAGATAGACATCACTAAGGTGCCAACTCAGGGACGTGGACATGGGGATGGAGAAGACAGTTTGTCTAAAGCCATACAAGAGGCTGGGAAGTGGACATGGGGATGGAGAAAATAGTTTGTCCAAAGCCATACAAGAGGCTGGGAAGGGCTTTTAAAACTGAACCCCACAGGGCTGGGAATGTGACCCAGTTGGTAAAATGCTTGCTTAGCCTACACAAAGACCAAGGCTCCATCCTCAGCACTTATAAACCAGGCATGCTGGTAGAGATTTGTAATCCCAGCACTCAGGAATCGGAGGTGGGAGGATTAAGAAGTTCAAGGTCGCCGGGCGGTGGTGGCGCACGCCTTTAATCCCAGCACTCGGGAGGCAGAGCCAGGCGGATCTCTGTGAGTTCGAGGCCAGCCTGGGCTACCAAGTGAGTTCCAGGAAAGGCGCAAAGCTACACAGAGAAACCCTGTCTCCAAAAAACCAAAAAACCAAAAAAAAAAAAAAAAAAAAGAAGTTCAAGGTCAGAGCTGGAGAGATGGCTCAGCCGTTTAAGAGCACTGGACCTGGGTTTGATTCCTGGCACACACGGCAGCTCACAACCATCTGTAATTAACCCCAGATCCAGGGAATCTGACTTCCTCTTATGACCTCAATGGGTACTAGACACATGTGGTGCACAGCGGTACATGTAGGCCAACACCCATGAATAAACAAATAAGTAAAAAAACAAACAAAAACCAAAGACAAACCAATCAAACACACTAGCAAAACCCCCTAGCCTACACACTTGTGTTTTGGGGTATTATCCCTCTAAAGTATGATGGTACCAGGCAGGTCAAGTGTCAGCTCCCTCTGGCTGTGTAGTCTCAGTCAGTTCCATTCTGTGTACCTTCTAGTCTTGTGTGTCCCTGCTGCTAAGCAGCTTGGGGCTCAGCTTGGTGGGGAGCCCAGTAAGGCCCCAGTCACAGGGACGACGGCTTTAGGGACTCATGTCCTACAAATCCCTGGGGTCCCCAGTGTGCACTCCGTGGTGAAAACCTCTGCCTCCAGAGGCCTGTAGGCTTGAGATGAAATGGCTGAGTTCACTCTGTAGCCATGTGGTTCCCGGCAACTTGAGGAAGAAGAGAAGTGGAAAGTGTGTCTTGGATCCTCTCCATGGCCTCATAATAATCCTTAGAGTTGACCCAGATTTCTAAGATGAAGTTCAAGCCGGGGCATTGAACTTCATCTGAGACCAATGTTAAATAAAGTTCATTTAAAAAAAACATGGCATTTTAACAAGTGTTTATATAGCTCTTATATATGCCAAGCACTATTCTAAGTGCACTACAAATTATTCATGCATTTAGTGCTTACAAAATCCCTGGGCGATGGATGCTCATATGACTCCCGTTTCACAGAGAGGAAAACTGAGGCCCATGTTTGAAAAACACCACATGCTTGTAAATGGTAGTGTTGATGCCTGTAAAGTGCTTTGCCCAGGGCCCAACACAATGTGTACTTACTAGGCACCTGCTAAATTGATTGCCCGTTATTCAGCAATAAGGAGGCCTACTATCCCAGTCAGTATGCATTTTCCTGCTCCTCTCTCCATTTGAATACTGTTCCCAGGGTTGCTGTACTTCTAGTATAGCATACCGTGGATGCTCAACACATCGATAAATTATCATCACTGTTGCTATCATCAGGAGCATCAGCTGGGACTGGTTTTCCAACCCACAGACTGATGACCTGTGGGTACCAAGCCCTGGATAGGGAGAAGGCAGGGCCTTCTGGGCTCACGTGGGGAGTGCCCCCTTCTAGCCAGAGGCTGTGCTACCAGGGAACATGCCCTCCTGAGTGGTTGTTAGGGGTGTGTCACTGCTTCCTGAGGAAATGGGATGTGAGGGTTTGAGTGCCCGACAGTCAGCATAACAACAATAATAAATAATAATTAGATCAATAATGATAACAATAAATAACAATAATTCTCTTCCTTCCATTTCTTTTTCTCCAGAGCATCTGTTTTTCAACTATGTAACAGAGTTCTACCTGAGACCGCAGGTTTGAGGGACAGATCTGGAACGGGTGGGGTTTTTTCTCTTGTGTTATTACCCAGAGATCAGGGAAGAGTGTGACTTCTAGGAGGCAGGCCCCTCTCCAGCAATGACTCCACCCTTTGTCCAGCTTGCACGGGAAGTGGGAGGACTTGGGGGTGGATGGGAAAAGATCGTGCAAAGGCCTTTGGGCTAAAGCTCTTGGGGAAAGGAGGGATACACAGACATTGAGGAGTGTGCTGAGTGGGTGCATGAAGGGAGACAGACAGAAGAGGCAGAGGGAGACATATGGGGGAGGCAAGTCAGGAGACAGGCAGAGACAAACGGGGTATAGAGAGACACACAGAGAGAGGCAAGTGGGATTACTGACTGGGGTGGACAGATACTGAGAAAGAAGACAGAGAAACAGGTAGACGGAGATGCTGAGGCGGGAAAGGTGGGGACAGGAGTGGGTACTGAGGTCCAGAGAGAGGTGGAAGAGGCCTAGGGGAGGTAGCTGGCTCACCTGTAGGTGGAGCAGGCTGTTCTCCTGGAGGTAGAGGTACTGTAGGCTGACCAGGCCTCGGAAAATGTTGCCAGGCAGGCTGCTGAGCTGGCAGCGGTAGAGATGTAACGACTGCAGCCGCTCCAGGCCCTGGAAGGTATCGGGCTCCAGGGAGCGAAGGTGCCGATTGTCACCAAGGTCCAGTTCCTCTAGGGCCTGCAGGTGGCGGAAGGTGCCGGGGTAGATGGTAGAGAGGTTGTTGGAGAAGAGCCACAGGGTGAGCAGGTTGGGGCCAAAGGTGCCTGGCCGCAGGGAGCGAATGAGGTTGTTCTGCAGGAAAAGTCGCTGGGTGCTGGGTGGCAGGGACAGCGGCACTGAAGAGAAGTTGTTGGCCTGGCAGCTCACCGTGGGTGGGGATGAGTAGCAGGTGCAGAGCATAGGGCAGCTGGGAGTCACAGGAGGGAGGCCCAGGAGTGTCAGCAGTAGGCAGGCTGAGGCAGGACCTATTGGGAGAGCAGAGTGAAGGCTCACTGGGTGGGTGGGCAGGGGTCTAGAGGCAGCTTAACAGGCTCAAGAGGCTTGGCCACCCCCCACCTCTCTCCATGTCCTTTGAGGTATGCAAACCTCATTTTCCCTTCCTTCCTTCCTTCCTTCCTTCCTTCCTTCCTTCCTTCCTTCCTTCCTTCTTTCCTCTCTCCTTCCCTCCCTCCCTCCCTCCCTCCCTCTTTCTTTCTTTCTTTCTTTCTTTCTTTCTTTCTTTCTTTCTTTCTTTCTTTCTTTCTTTCTTTCTTTCTTTCTTTCTTTCTTTCTTTCTTTCTTTCATGTGTGTTTGAGACAGGTCTCATTGTAGCCCAGGTCGCCCTCAAACTTAATGTTTAGCTGAGGATGTCCCTGAACTTGTGATCCCCCTGTCTCCACTTTCCTAGTGCTGAGATTACAGTGGTGTGTGCCATGCCTAGTTGATGCTGTGCTGGAGATCACACCCAGGGCCTTGTGCATGCAGGCGAGCACACTACCAATTCAGCTACAATCCCAGTCTTGGAAATCTTTTTGAGAGCTATTGTTTCTCCAGAATGGATGCCTGTGTTTCCCCACTGTATTAAAGAGTGAGGGGGCTCTTTCTTTCTTTTCCTTCCTTCCTTAAGACAGGGTTTCTCTGTGTAGCCCTGGCTGGCCTAGAACTCGCTCTGTAGACCAGGCTGGCCTTGAACTCACAGAGATGGGCTTGTCTCTGCCTCCCAAGTGCTGGCATTAAAGGCCTGTGCCACCTGGCGGTGAGGGAACCCTCAATGGAGCAGATAAAGGTGGAATCAGCTTTTGCCCTCTTCCCTCTGTCAGGGATCCCAGGAAGCCTCTGAGGTTTTCTTGGGGAGCTCTGCCTGGGGAACACCAGGAGGGCTTTGTAGACAGCACTGAGAGGTGTCTAAAGTTGTTTGGGGGACAGGTGTCTTTTCCTTCCTGTCTGTTTTCATTGTTGTGTTTGACCTTGTTTAGCATTAGGGTCAAAAGTCTACGAGTCAGGGCTGGGGATTCTTTGGGATGGGGACAACTCTGCTTAGGGTGTTAAGCTATAGCACTATCTTCTAGCCACCAGATGCCAGCAGCACCCTGCCCCCAGTTATGACAATCAAAATGTCTCTAGACATTGCCAAATGTCCTCTGGGAGCAAAACCAGCCCACTCGAGAAAGCTAGACACTAACTTGAGGCCGTCTGTGACGAGAAGGCCTGTGGGTGTCCTGGTGACCCACAGCCTCCTCCCTCTTCTCCCTGCAGGCCTTGGAAGAACCTTAGCCTTTTCCTCCTAGGAAGGGGCTGGAGAGTGGGGCTGCAGAACCAACTCAGACACTCTCCTTCAAAGCCTTTGTTACGGTTTTTCCAAAGTAACTTTTGGAGTTTGGTTATGGGCTAATCTTCTTAGGATCCAGACAGGAGAGCAAGTGCAGGGGACGAAGGTGTTGCGAATGGGTACCTCTGTTTCTCTGCCCGACCAAGGAGCACAGAGCTCCTCCTACGTGCATCCCTGTCCCTTACCCCTCAATACTGCAGGCTCCTCCTACATGCATCCCTGTCCCTTACCCCTCAATACTGCGAGTAGAGGTTCCTGTGGGTAGACCTCAGTTCTGTCAGGATTCCCAGAAAGCCCCCGAGACCTCCCTGGGAATCTTTGCCTGGGGAGAGGTGAACCCGCACCCACAAAGCTAGGACTCGGCCCCAGAAGTCGGGTAGGAAGACCTAGTTTGGGGGTTCCTATGGCTCAGGGAGTGGGTAGCTGAGAGGTGGGTAACTTTCAGTGTCAGATCTCCGAGGCTGCGAATGGAGGTTTGAATGTATTCTGAGGTGTCTGTGTGTATGGAGGTCTTCCTGTGATCTGGAGGGACAGTGTGAGGACAGGTGCTCACTACCGAAGGTGCTGCTCAACCCGGTAGGCGACGTTATAGCAGGCGTGCATCCCTGTGCCTCTTCCTGGGGGGCTCCACCCTGGTGCAGAGTGGAGTGCCCTGTGAGTCGGGGTGCTCCCTAGCTCTTCACTTTCAGGCACTTCCCAAAGCCACCCCAGCCCGCTTGTGTGTGTGTGTGTGTGTGTGTGTGTGTGTGTGTGTCACTGGTCCCTCCTGGAACGCGAGCGAGTGAACAAGCAAGCAAGCGTGTGCTGGCGGTCCTCCGCGTGTGTGAGTGCCGGGCCCCGTGCGTGTGTAGGCTGGGTGTGATGTAATATTCAGTGACACAGCGCGGCTGTTCCATTCGTTCACACCACCTCCGCGTTTCTCGGTCCTTCTCACCCCTCCCCCGTGCGGCGGTTCACGATTACTTTTCTCCTCCTGAGTTTTTTCAGAGCCACGTGGGGTGGAGGAGCATGTCTCTCACCCTTGATCTTAACTAGGAAGGAGTGGGGTGTGGGAGTCCAGTGGAAGACCCTGGGTGGGCTTCCTGAGCACTGAGAGCTGGGGATTTCAGAGCTGTGTCAGGCCTATGGAAATGGCAAGTTTTGGCTCTCAGAGAAGGCGAACAACTTACCCAAGGTCACGCACTAAAGTGGTACAGGACGAGGGCCAGAAAAAGACTGGCCTGGTGTCCAGTAGGGCATTCCTGTTCACCCACTGATCTCTGCCCCTCCAAGGACTTTACACCAAAGGGAGCCAAATCCTTCTCTGATCCCTTAATCCCACCCCCATCCACAGGCTCACCAGAGTGTGAGCTGCGGTGGCTGTGAACCTCCCCACCCCCCAGGATTACCAAGCTCTTCTTCCAGCCTCCACGGCTGACTGACTGCTATCCCTGACTGACTGCTATCCCGGGAGAGAAAGCAGGAAGGGTTACAAACCCAGCAGGCCAGGGGTTCAGAGGGCGACTCCCCTGACCCCAGGCCCTCGTCCGGGCTGAGGTCAAGCTCATCCGGAGCTGGCAAGCCTCCCCTCCGTCTTGTCCCCACTTCCTGTTTGGCCCCCTCACGTTTTCCAGTGCCTCTCTTCTCTGGCCCCACAGTGGCCTCCCTGCTGCCCCATCTACGCCTTTCTCTCAGTGGGATCTACTTCCCTCCGTCTCAGGGGTATTCCTTGCATGCCCTTTGAGGAGGGACCCTGTGTGCTGGGGGGTGCTCCACGGCGGCGGCGGCTGCGTAACAGTGACTCTGTTGCCATTTCTGGCCCTCACTGCCGTGCGAAGCAGCTGTAACCCAAGGAGCTTCATCCATAATTCAGGTTGTGGCTCTCACTGGAGGCAGGGGGGAGGGGGAGGAGGGGCTCTGGGCTTCTCTGCCCCCAGGCTGGGTTGGAGTGGGCACTCCAGGCAGAGGCAAGGTAGGGGGCTGGGAGAGCACCTTTCCCTCCCCGCCTCTCCTCTACCCTGCACCTTGTACCATTTTCCCTCTCCCCCTCTCCCCCCAACCCCTCCCACCAAGTCCCGCTTTTCACACGCCTCTTCACAGCCATCCCAGGCCCTCCCCTGAGGACCACGCTATACTCCAGGTTCTCCTATGCATGTCCTGGGCAGGCCCAGTGTGTCAGAGGTGGGTTAGGGATTCTCAGCCACTATCTAGGATAAACCTTTGTGAGACAGGAAGCATCCCTGAGGGCTGGAGAGCAGAAAAGTCGGCTTCTGGTTGGAAGAGCCCCTTTCTGTCCTCAGAATCCTGGTTTCTTTCCTCCCCTGTGGGGAAGGGAGAGGGAAGCCTTTTCTGCCAGCCTCCCTCACCCTCTGCTCATCCCTTCCTCTGAAGTCAGCAGGTAAGCCCTGAGATGAATGGTGTGTGGGACCAGAGAAGAAGGAATCAATCTGTTATTGTGTACCTACTGTGTGCCAGCACCCCACTTGTGATGCTGCCTTCTTTATCCGTGGAACCCAACCTGTCACGACCCCTGGTGACATCAACAGTACCAAGGTCCCAACCTTGCGTTGTCCCAACTGTGTGGCCCAAGTGTAATGTGAGATCCAGAGCAGCAGGCACAGGTGCTGTGCTCAGAGGACACACTCTGACTTTTCTTACGGGGCCCCAACCCCCACCACACCCCCTGGATGTGAGATGCTAGCCTAGAGGTAAAGGGAATATAGGTACCCTGCCCATAGGCTCAGGCTTGGGACACTCACAGTGCTAGCCATTTGGCTGTTCAGGATCAAGGGGGGAAAGGGACCTAGGCTCTCTCTGTAGATTTCCACTCCTGGGCTCCAGGCTCTGGTTATTCAGGAAGAGGTGGCCAGTGACCAAAGTCATAATAACCACATCTGGCCACAGGAGGGAGTGGAGAGAGGCCACAACATGATATTGATCTTGGAAGGCTAAGGTACCCAGAGCCAAAAGGATCCATTCACCAAAGGATCACGGTCAAGGCCCAAGGGCTGCCAGACCTTGGAATACCCAGGTTCTGAGATGAGGATCTCAGCCTGTGCCAACCGTTAGGCCAGAGGCTCCTGGGAATAAGAAACTCGAAGGGGGGGGGGGGGCGGGGGCAGAGTCCAAGGCAGAGTCCAAGGCAGGAACTAGATAGAGTGCACCATAATGGGGCAGAGATATCCCAGGAAAAGTAGACAGGCCTCTGGCTCTAGAAACGGGGTACAGGGCCCCAAATACAAGCACCATCTCCATACTTTAAACAGGGCCTCAGGGAAGAGCCAGGCGCCTGCCCAGCAGATGCTGAGGGGGCAGAGGCTGGGAGGAGGGGGGCCTTGGGAGTGGCATGGGGGCGATGGCATACCAGTGACGCAGGGGCCTGGGGAGGCACTGATGCAGGTGACTGGAGGTTCTGAAGCTGCTGCAAACAGCTTCTCACTCTGCCAGAATGTAACACCCCAAAATAAGCAGCTACTGTGGGGCGGCAGGATCCGACGTCGGGGCTTGGAGATATAAATGGCAGCACTGAGCCAGCCCAGGTGCCCACCCCAAGGAGGCTGCCACCCCACTCACACACGCACACACGAAGTCCTCACCCTCCTTCTCTTACAGCAGCCCCAGACCCTGAGCTCAAGGTCCCCTGGACTAGCCCACCAGCCACTCCCTGAGAGACGGGAAAGAACAGGCAGGCGCTTCAGAATGCAGGGCTTCCCACGTGGAAGTGGTTACCAGGAGCCAGCCTCTTTGTCTCTTCCCTGGGCACCCCATCGCTTCTCTTCCTTCTCCTTCTCTGGCTTCTGTTGACATCCTGAGCCTTCTCTAACCACTCTACCATGTAGGGATCTGGGTCCCCAGTCCTGGTGACCATTTTCCCCAGTGTCTGATCCTTACATCTGTCCTCCATCACCAGCTTCCGCTGGCTTCTAGTCTTGCCATCCCTTTCCATTCCAATCTCCCAGAGCCCCAGTCCTCACCCTTCCGGTTATCTTCCCCCGCCCCGCGCCCCGCTAGCTTTCTATCCCTAGTCTCTACATTTCTCTCCTGAACTGGTCCCCTTCTCCCTCTCCCTTGGTCTTCCCCTGGACCCTGGTTTCTACTAAGCTTTCCTGTCGTCTAACCTTTATTCCTCCTCCCGCCCTCCCCCCATCCCGCCCCCACCTCCTCTTTCTCACCCCCACCTCTCTAGACACTTTTCTCATCTTGACTCCCCTCCTCCCTCCGACCCCTACCCTCCCCGCCCCCAGTCTCCAGCCCACACCCTTAGCTGTCACTCAGTGCTTGGAACTAGCCTCCTTCTAGCCCCCCCCCCCCCCGATTTGTCCGACCAGACAAGGCCATAGGGAAATCGCTCTCTGTCCCCTACCTTCCCAGACAGCCCCCTACCCACATGGCTCGTCTTCCCAGGTGACTGGAAAGTGCTGAGACACCGGGCATGAGGAGTTGCTGAGTCGGCGCTTCCCCAGCCGGCCCGAGTCCTCGGCGTCCCCCGGAGCAGGTGGAGCCGGGACAGCGGAACCTGAGCCTCTTTCTCCTCCTCCCAGGCTGCTCGGTCTGCCCTCCGCGTCGCCCCTTGGTCACGAGCTCCCCGCACACTCCCGCAGGCTCCAAGCCCAGTGCCCTCCTGCGGCTGGCAGCTATGGGGGCGGAGGCGCGGCTCCCGCGCTAAGCGGTTTTTTTTTGCTCCCAGCCCACCCCACCCCCTTCACTGCCCCACCCTCATGCCCAAGGAGAGGGGCGCCCCTCTCTAGGGTCCTCCCGCCGGACGTTGTCCCTACCTTGCAGCAGGCGCCGGAGCCCGGGCAGCATCTTGTCTCGACGCTCGGGGGAGGGGGCGGCGGGGGGGAGGGCTCTCCCACTCGCTCCCTTATGCCGCCGGACAGACGGCGGGGACTCCGCGGGGCTCCGGAAGGGCCCGAGGAGTCCCCGGGCTACGTGGCGGGGCTGCGGAGCTCTACCCTGCGCCCCCCGGACTGCGTGCCTCAGAAGGAGCCATCGGGCCCCGACGGGACGGGGCGGGGCACGACGGGGTGGAGAGGGCTGGGTTGGCCCCGGCCACCTGGTGTCCGCGCCCCCTAGGCAGTGCGGCCCCGCAGGGAGTCAGGTAGTCGGTCGGTCCTTGCACCCCGGCTGCTCTCCGAGGAAGAGTGGGGACAGCGAAGAAGCGCTCCCCCCCCCCATTCCCGCACTCGCTGGCTCCTCCCTCGCTTCCCGGCTTGCCGGTTTAACCCTTTGCTGGCTACTAGGAGGCGGGAGTGGTTCTCCGTCTAGCCCACTCCTCCCTCCCCCTCCCAACCTTGGGAGACCCGGAAGGCCGAGTTTCCATAGCCTCCGCGGCGCCATGCCTTTAGAGAAATCCCTTCTTGGGGTGTGTGTGTGTGTGCGCGCGCAGTAGTGTTAAGGAACGCCCCCTCCCCCCATGGACTTGTCCGGAATGGGGGTTTCCTCTCCCAACTTTGCCAGAAAATACGCAGTTTCTTGAGTAGTTTCCCGCTCAGCGCCACCCCCTCCTGCCCTGTCCCCTGCCATCGTTTGTGTCCCCTAGGAAAACTTCAAGATTTCACTTTCTCCTTGGTTCTCAGACTCCGAGCCCTACTTGTACAGCTATAGGAACAGTGTGTATAGGAGTTTGTGTGAGCAAATGTATAGGCGCGTGCCCCCGCGCGCAGACACTTGGGCAGGTGTCGCTGAGTGCTGGCCTTTTATCCCCGTCGGTGAACAGGGCAGGAGTACGTGTGCGCGCGCGCTGGTTTCGGCTCTGGTGGGTCACACGAGGGCTGTGTGAAATTTTGCGCGCGCGAGTTTGGGACAGGAGGCAAAGGGTATACGTACTCGGGATTATCGTATGCACCTTAAAGCTTTTACAAATGGGTGTAAGTTTGGGCGCGCGTGCGGTTGTGTGTATGTGTGTGTGTGTGTACACGCGCGCGCGCGCGCGTATTTACGTGATATGCCCCAAAGGGGATATCTCATCCCTCGCCAGAGGGCAGAAGAGGACCCAAAAGTGGGAGCCGATTGTTAGTTTCACAGAAACGTCTTTCTCTTTTACAGAGGGGTGGAAAGGGGCCTCATAGGTGCCCTAGACACCTCTAGCGACCTCTTTCCTGGCACTATCAGCCAATCTCTGATTTAAGCGCCTTCTTTTAAAGGCCTCTGTGCCTTTTGCCCTAATCCTGGCTAGCTCAAGGTGCCTAGCAGAGCCACTAGGTGAAGGATAGTTGGGGGAGCCGCTTTGGGACCGTCGCCAAGCGGCGCGGGCGGGGTTGGGATTGTTGCGTACTGCGGGTGCCAGGGTCATCTGGACGCAATCGGACCCTGCCGGTGACAGCGTGGAAGCACTGGGTGGCCACTCCCGTGAGTGGAGCCGAGGAACCCTCTGTGCCGGCACCTGGCTCCTCCTTTCCTGTCTGTGCCAGGGTTCAACGCTGTGTACGGACGGCATACAGTCGGCGCTTTATAAATGCTAGACTCACTCTTCTCATTCATTCCATGCTCCTTTTATAATCTGTCATTCTTCTCTCGTACTCCTCCGATTTCTCTCATTTTCTTCCCAACTCTTATTCATATTTTATGATCCCATCTCTATTCTCTCCCTCGCTTCCCTCCCTTACTTTCTCTGTCCTTCCCTCCCCAAATATGCGTATGCCTTCTTCTGTCTTCTTTGACTGCATCTTTTTTTTTTTGAATCCCAGCCTTTTGGCCTCTCCACGTCTGCATGCATTTCCTCGCCTCTCCTTTGTCTCTCCCCCACTTCCCCCTTTTCATCTTGTTCCTTGGCGGGGTGGTGGTGGTGGTGGTGGTAGTGGCTCTCGGTCTTCTTGCACCTCACGCTGAAGTGCCCCCTGCTGGTTCTATCTTTTGTTACTTCCAGGGCTCCCAGCCTAGCAGCCCCTGAATTTTCTCTCCCGCTTTTCCAGGTCAGGTAGAAACAAAAAAAAAAAAGGGCATATCTGGGCCTCCTGTCCCTCTTTTATAAGGCAGAAATAGGGCCCTGCGTTTCCCTGGTCCCATTCTGCGCAGGGCCCGCGCCTGAGGTGGGGGTAGTGCTGGAGGGGGCGGCGGGGAGGGAGTGTTGGGGGTAGCAGGGTGGGATTTGGCGTCCTTCCCCGGAATGAGCCGCGGCACAATCTGTCGCTGGGTTTGTTTGCCGAGCTGCCTCCGGAGCGCAATGGGGCTGGCTCCCGGGGAGCGAAATATCACAAGATGCGGAGACAGACGCTGAGGGGCGGGTGGGCGGCGGGCTGACTCAGGTGTGCTTCATCGGCTCCCTGGGCTGCAGCTCTTCTGAGAGGGGTGGGAGGGGACACTGGCCCCCCAACACAGGCTGGCAACCAAAGCTGGGAGGGGAGCCCCATCCTGCGACGAGCGGCGGGGAAGAGGGTCCTTAGCTCTAGGCCTCTCCTTCAGCCCGAGTTGGGATTCCCTAGACGGTCACATGCTCTCTAAGCCACCGCCGTGTACAGGTGTCCGGGTTTCCCCTAGCTATCTGCTGACTCACCGCTTCCCACTCTCGACTGCCGGCGTTTTGAGGGCAGGAAATGCTTCTCACACAGTGTGTCCAACAGGTGCTGAGCAAGGCTGTTGGACCACTGGCTGGTGGGCGGAAGGGTGGCTAGTATTGGTTTCCCAGAATCTCGCTGTGCGTTTGGTCTTCCCTGTGGGCTATTCCCACCCCTTGTTTCTCCTGATATTTACATTTGGGGTCTCCTCTCTTTACACCTCTTGACAGCTCTCTCTGGATCGGAACACCTGCTTTCTCTAACTACCCCGGACCATTCACTCTCTTCCTCATGCCTTCACCTCCTCATTTGTACATAGAGACTGTACTGCTCACCAGGCTACATAAAATCTCCATCTCTCCGGGAGAGCTGGCTTATTACTGTTTCGAAGTCATCGTTTTTTTGGTATGGGCTGTCTCGCTAGAAGCAGATCCCCGTGATAGACTTTTGCAGTTAAATGTTTGGAGATCCCAAGGAGTAGGCTGATGGCACAGTGTAATCGGGGACTGTGGTTTGGTTATGTAGGCCCATCTCTGCCTGGACAGTTGGCCAGGCGCTGGGTACTTCTTGGCCACAGAGCTGGCCCGCCCTCTGGTGGCTGTAGGTGGAGCTGCAGTCCCCCTGGAAGCCAAAGATCTCTAGAAAGGGGTTGATGAATATAGACTATTTCCCGAGCAAGCCAGTGTCTGCAGAAAAGCCGGCTTCTAGAAGGACTCGCAGAAGAGGTGGGGTATTGACACAAATGGGTTTTATGTCCTTCATGATCACGACTATTCTCATTGTGTCACTGGGGCTCCTCTCCCGTCTGGTGGCCCTCCTTAGTGAGTTGGCAGAGCCCCCCTCCCAAAACTTGGCCTGTTCGGCACCTTCAATGTTAGAACCCCAGTCAGTAAATGCACACTGTGGGATTGCTCAGTGGTCCTTAACACAGAGGCTCTGCAGAGTTTCCTCTTGCAACTCACGAGTTAAACAGGTGACCATCACCAAATGGCTTAATTTTCCTAAGTCTCCAAGTTTCTCGTGTAGAAAATGGAAGAGAAATAACCTTTCCAGATCACAGAGTTGATTGAAGATTAAATGAGATAAAGCATAAAAGGATCTAAGAGTCTCTGACCCCGTGCTCAATAATGCTAAATAATGTCATTATTTGTGCTGCTAGCCTAAAATGACCTGGAGCCTAGATTCTGCGGTCTAAGAGTAAAAGGCAGAGTTAGGACTTAAGTTCATCAGGAGCAAGGGGTAGTGCTAGGCGTGGGAGTACTTAGTCATAATGGCCTCCCATGGAGCCGAACTTGACCTTGGCACCCTCTTCCAGCACATGCCAAGGTTGTCCGGTGTGATGGCAGGATTCCCAACCTGAACCAGAAGTTCCAGACTGAATTCTTCCTCTGAGTGTATGTAACCTGCGATGGCCTCTCAGGTCTTCAGTTGAAGTGGACATCACGGAGTTGGTGCTCCTGAGAGTCTGG